TCACTCCCTTCGTCTCGCTCCCTCTCTTCCTATTTCCAGGTCTCTGCTGAAGACCTTTCTCTTCGGCCGTGCCTTTGGTCACTTTGCTCCCCATATCCCTGGCTTGGCGCTGGGATCCGTTACTGTGAAGCGCTCTGAGATGCAGTCCGGCGTGGAGGGCGCTATATAATCCACGTTGTTGTTGTGTTAACTTGGTTGTATTTTTGTGGACATTTTTACAGTATTTTTAACTTATGGGTTTGTATGTGCACTGTATTATTCTTTACACTTGGAAACTGTACACACCACAGCGAACCCTTACTCAGAGGCCACCCTTAGATAAATCCCACTTTGGCCCAGTCCTTTGAGAGGTTATTGAAGAAGGGTTTGACCGTAGTGCCATAAGATCTTTAATATCCACCTGAACTTGCCCATAACATTTCATCTGAAGGACGGCACCTCCAACAATGCAGTGCTTCACCAGCAGTGCATAAAAAGTCAAGGTAGATTGAGTTGGGCTGTGTAGTAATTTTATCTTGAGAAGTGATCCTTCCGAGAGATAGTTAAATGTGAATAAGCTGCTCTTTTGAAACTTGTTGCTAACTGAAAACTTCTCCTTCAAGAACTACAGATTGTTTTGTCTCTTACCATCACATCTGTATTAAAATACATCTTTTCTTACGTACTCAGATTTTCAGCAACAGAGACAAATTGTTCCACTTCCACTGTCTTACAAATTATTTTTCAGTTCCTCATTTATCTTGTGAAATTATATACATTTAAATTGTTCCTCTTTCGGTCTTCCTGTTACAAGTTGTCATGTGTAGTGCAGGAACCTGGTCGCAACCTTCTTATAATATTTAAACTGGCAAAATCATGTCTTGCCACTTGAGCACAATGGGTTAGACTCTGGGTTACATTATGCTTTGTTTTAAAAATCCATTTATCATTGAGGGGAAAGTTGTTTCAACCAAAATACATTTTTATATAATTTGGAGATTAATTTCAGACAATTATCTAGTTGCAGTTTCAGCAAGATATTAGAATAATATTCCTCACAGTCTTTACAGTTATTTCTATTAGTTTCCTCACAATTGTGAATATTTAAGACAAGTAGTCTTTTGAGGGGAAGTATAGTTGGCTTATTGGTACTTTTGTTCAAGTGTCGTGAGGTAAACACAAAAGTATGGTATAGAATCTCAGGCATCAGAGCAGCAATGGAAATCCTTTTGGGCTTTCCCTAACATCTATACTCAATTTCCTTTAATTTTAGTGTATATATAGTACAGGAGAAGGCAGGAATCTAGATACAGTATATTGTAGCCTGAAATACCAACAGCCAAATTATGGGAGGGAGCAAATGTCTTTCATGCTTTCCTTGCACAATCTTGCAGGTTTTGAAATAGGGACCAATAATTGATAGTATGAGGTGTAACCTTGGCCCCTATTTTATAATGTTAAGTGTATTGAAAAAATTAGAAATAATAGCAGTTAGATTATTAAAATTCTGTGTAATTGTACAAATAATATTGATTAACGAATCCATCAGAAAAATGTCCTAATGCTACAAGTAGCATTTCTGTACTGCACTAATAACTTGTTTGTTGAGCATTCATTTGTTTCTTTCTACAGTTACTGGTTCCCAATATATGCTAAAATAAGCTTTTAGTAGGGCCAAAGAAAAGGGAAGCGAACTATGATGGATTGTGGTTTAATTTTAACCTTTTTTNACTGAATAGCTTTGCTCTGTTTTCAAAATGGATTATTTTTCTTTTCTGGATATCATATTTGCTAACAAATGTGATGGCAAAGTCGTACGATTTGTGATTTGTCCTGAGCCCAAGAATTTCAGTATTTGAATCTCATCCAAAAAAGTGATAGTCTCTCAGCTGCTGACTCAATTGCCACCATTTAATTTCCAGCCATTCTCAGGCACTCTGTCTGATGGATAACCTTTACTAATTTCCTGAAAACTTGTCGCTCCGAGGGAAAAGGGCTGTGATGAGTTACCCGGCGTGGCAAGTTAGGCAATGTATAATTACATAAATGTGGTTGGGATATTGATAGGTTATGACAAGTTAATCCAGAGTCAAATTATCTGGAGTTTACTGTACAATCATTTAACAGGAATATAAGGTGTTCATTCTTTATAGTGCAAAGTCTCATTGGCTTGATGACCCATTGGACATTCCTGTTTGTAAACTGAGCCTCTAAGACACTGGGTAATGAAATGTATTTTCTTGTGTTGCTTTCTGGCAGCACAGAATCCTGGAGAGAAAGTGAGATCAGTAAACACTTTCTGCACCAACATACCATTTATGAAGTAGCTTTCTGTATTAGGATAGATGCTTTTATTCTGGTGAATGTTATTCTATGACACTTTTTAAAAAAAAATGTTTTCCCTGTCCGAGACAACAATTCTTCAGATAAATTGGTCTTTCTGCTCTTGGCTGTTCGTGAAATATTGCTGTGTGCAAATTGGCTGTTTGCCTGCAGAATACAGTAAATCCTATCAAGCAGTTTGAGACATTGACTCTGAGGGAAGTAAGGGTGGAATTAACAGAGGCTCTGGCCATAATCTTTCAATCCACCTTGGACACTAGTGGTGCCAGAGGACTGGAGGGTTGCAAATGTTACTCTCCTGTACAAAAAAGGGCAGAAAGATAAACCTGGGAACAATAGGCCAGTCAGCCTAACGTCAATAGTGGGGAAACTTATAGAGACTATAATCCGGGACAAAATAAATTATCACTTAGAAAAATAAGGGTTAATAAAGGACAGCTAACATGGATTTGTTGAAGGCAAATCATGTCTAACAAACCTGCTAGAGTTTTTTTTAATGAAGTAACGGAGAGGGTGGATGAAGGTAGTGCAGCTGATGTAGTTTATATGGATTTTCAAAAGGCGTTTGATAAAGTGCCACATAAGAGACTTGTAAGCAAAATATAAGTCCACGGTATCTATGGCAGCATAGATACAGAACTGACTGGGAGACAGAAAGCGGAGAGGCTGGTGAACGGTTGTTTTTCTGATTGGAGGGAAGTGTGCAGTGGTGTCCCCCAGGGGTCATTATTGGGACCACTGATGTTTTTGATCTACATAAATGACCGGGACTTGGGAGTACAATTTCCAAATTTGCAGATGATGCTAAGCTAGGAAAAGTAGTAAACAGTGAGGAGGATAGCAGTAGACTGCAAATGGACATAGACAGACTGGTAAAATGGGCAGACACATGGCAGATGAAGTTTAATGTGGAGAAATGCGAAGTGATGCGTTTTGGGAGGAAGACTGAGGAGAGGCAATATAAGCTGATGGTACAATGGTAAAGGGGGTGAAGGAACACAGAGACCTGGGGATTCATATCAGTAAATCTTTGAAGGTGACAGGACAAGTAGATAAAGCTGTTATACGGGATACTAGGCTTTATAAATAGGGGCATAGAATACAAAAGTCAGGAAGTTATGATAAACCTTTATAAAACACTGGTTAGGCCTCAGCAACAGACTGTGTTCAGTTCTGGGCCCCACACTTTAGGAAAGATATTAAGGCATTGGAGAGGATGCAAAGGAGATTTATCAGAATGGTACCAGGAATGAGGGACTTCAGTTATCAGGAGAGGCTAGAGAGCCAGGATTATTCTCCTTGGAGCAGAGAAGGTTAAGAGGAGACTTTGTAGAAGTTTTCAAAATTATGAGGGGATTCGATAGGGTGAACAAGGAGAAACTTATTTCTACTGGCGGGTCAGTAACCCGAGGACACCAATTTAAAATAGTTATTAAAAGAAACAGGTGAGGAGAAATGTTTTCACACAGCGAGTTGTTCAGATCTGGAATGCATTGCCTGAAAGGGAGGTGGAAGCCGATTCGATCTCTTCTTTTAAGAGCGAAGTAGATAGATATTTGGGGAGGACAAGTTTGCAGGGCTATGGGGAGAAAGCGGGGGAGTGGGTTTGATTTGAATAGCTCTTTTCAAAGAACTGGCACAGACACGATGGGCCAAATGGCCTCCTTCTGGGCTATGTAATTCTATGGTTCTATGATTTGATACAGCGCCTTATCACGTCTTCGAGACATCTCAAAGTGCTCCACAGAATATAAAGTAAATTGACTATTTTGTGAGTGAAATGTGGCAGCCAATTGCGCACAACAGTGTCCCTCAAACAGGATTTGAATGACCAAATTATTTTTATTTTATATTGTTTTGAAGGGATATTACCTACAGAAAGCAATCCGCCAATTGACTAACAACTGGGTTCCTACTTGCTGCTAGGTAAATAGAGTAGTGTGTAGTAAGGAAACTTGCTTAACATTTCACACTGCCCAGGAATCAAACTCAGGTCCTCTCACTTGCGAGGCGACTGCTCTAACCACTAAGCTACAGGACTCCACAAGCTGACAGGACATTAGTGGACTGGGAGTAGAGGCACACTCCTGATAATAATTCCTCAAGAAAAAAACAATGATAATTTGTTCACTCAATCCATGACTGTTTGTGGGACATTACTGTGCGCAATTGGCTGCTGCGTTTCTCCCACAAATATACAGTCAATTCACTTTACAGTATGTTCTGTGAAGCTCTTTGAGACATCTAGAAGATGTGAAAAGCGCTATATCAAATGCAAGGATTATTATTATTTGGGTGTTATCCGCATACACGTGAAAGTTGACCCCATGTCGGTGGATGACATCACACTCTGGGGTCCCCAAGCCTGGTTTTGCCAACTTGTACTTAATACTGTCTTGAATTGGATAAGCAAATTGTATCCCTCTGGAGATTCCAGACACAGGAATTTACAAATTGTAGGTAACATACTTGGAACTCTGGTTTGGACACTTTTAAGCATGACAATGTTTTTTTCCATGTTCAAAGGTGCTGTTTGTATGCAATACTTTGCATACCATTGCCAAGATGATGTTCATTTCTAACTTTGCTGTTTGGAAAACAGAAGATATTGAAATCTTTGTATTTTAACTTTCTCCAGGTTGGCTAAAATCTACAAAAGGTGGTTACCTGAACTTTTGATGGTGGTCAACTCTTCTGTTTGATCTTGCAATTAGCCATGTCTTACGGAAGAATGGAAGATGGTTACACAAGTGGAATGGCAACCTCTCTGGATGCAAACCAACTGTCCCAGACAATAACTGCCAACATCCAGAAGATTGCACAGCAAAGTAAGTTGTGTTACAAGTCCTGTTTTTTTTCTTTTCTTCTAAGTAGCAATTTTTTTATTTTTAATGCAAGGCACTCCATTTTCATAACCTAAGTTTGAAAAAAAGCTACATTTCAGATTTCCATATGTATGCAGATGACACCCAACTCTATCTTTCTGCTTCCACCCTCAACTCCAGGACCACTGCTGTCCTAACAGACTGCCTGTCAGACATCAAGTCCTGGATGAGGGCAAATTTCCTACAGTTGAATGTGAACAAGACTGAGGCACCTCAGGCTCTGGCAGCATCAACCTCCATGGTTGCACATTACAACTCACCAAACCAATTTCATTACATCGAGGCTCGACTATGCAAACTCACTGCTTGTCGGCCTTCCCAACTCCTCTCTCCACAGGCTGCAGATAATCCAGAACTTTGCAGCCCGTGTCATCTCCCGTACCAAACTCCGTGACCCCATCTCCCCCATTCTCGCCCAACTTCATTGGCTCCCTATCCTTCAGAGGATCCAGTACAAGATCCTGGTCCTCACCTACAAAGTCCTCCATGGCCTCGCCCCACCCACCCTACCTCTGTGACCTCCTAACCCCCTACCAACCCGCCCACTCCCTCCACTCAGCCGGCTCCGGTATGCTCCACGTTCCCCGACCCACCCGCCCCACCATTGACGGGAGAGCCTTCAGCCACTCTGTCCCCAACCTCTGGAATTCCATCCCCCAATCACTCTGCCTCGCCCCCTTAGCCTCTTTCAAGTCCCACATTAAAAAAAAACTCCTCTTCGACCATGCCATCGGTCACCCCTCCTGACCCCACTCGGGTCTGAAATGCTGTACTTGGAAGGCAAGGGGGAAAAGCAGGGGCATCGAAAGTACGGTCGAGAAGGAGGGTCTTGATATGGGTCTTGAAGGTGGCAAGGGAGGGGGTGAGGTGGCGCGACTGCGGGATGGAGGTCCAGAGGGTGGGGGCAGAGTGGTGGAAGGTCCGCCTGCCAATAGTGGGGCGAGCGAGGCGGGGGACGTGAAGCAGGCCAGAGCCCGCTGAGCGGAGGGAGCAAACAGGATGGTAAGGGATTAGGAGGTCGCAGAGGTAGGGGGGAGCAAGACTGTGGAGGGCTTTGAAGGTGAGGACCAGGATCTTGAACTGTATCCTCTGTGTGATGGAAAGCCAGTGGAGTTGGGTGAGGATGGGGGTGATAGGATCGCGGAGCCTAGTGCGGGAGAGGACATGAACTGCAGAGTTCTGGATGATCTGCAGCCTGTGGAGGGAGGAGTTGGGGAGGCCGACAAGCAGTGAGTTTGCATAGTCGAGCCTCGATGTAATGAAAGCATGTATGAGGGGTTTGGAGGCCTGTGGTGTGAGACAGTGGCGAAGCTGGGTGACGTTGCGGAGGTGGTAGAAGGAGAGCGGGTCCTGGCGCAGATATGGGATCCTATGGCACTATTTGAAGAGAAGGGAGTTTCTCCCATGTCCTGGCCAATATTGCAACAACTTTCTTTGGATCGGCCTAGCTCGACAGCCACACTTGGTTCACAGAATGATCTGAATGTCATTGGTGCTCCAAGCCTCGAGACAGCTGAGTTGATTGTATCCCTAATATAGTTATTGAATTGGTTTTCAATGAGCTAAATGGGCTTTTTACCAAATGTCTTCATATGCAGATCTAGCTAATTTTTGTAACCAAATTTTACCATAATGTGTCTTGAAGTAAATAACATGCTCTTTGTTGGCCGGGGCATCTGTGGATCCTCTGAAACCTTTTTTGTTGCTGCTTATTTTACTACCTATGGGCTGTTTGTATACAGTAGAACCCTATTATGCAGTATTTGGGTCCATAAAATCCCAACTCTCCGACCTGCATCATCAGATGTGCTGCACTGTGATGCTGCTGATCATCGGACCTTTGATGTCGCTGCACATACGTGCAGAAAGCCAAGTAGCTTCCAAGTGCTAAACATGGTTGGTTTTGGCATCTATTGCCACTGATGCCACTTCGTATAATAATCCTTCCATTTGATATAGTGCTTTATCATGTCTTCGAGACGTCCCAAAGGCTTCACAGAATATGCTGTAAAGTGAATTGATATTTTGTGGGCGAAATGCAGCAGCTAATTGCGCACCCAGTGTCTCACAAACAGTCGTGGATTGAAGTGACCAATTAAAACATTTTTTTAAGGTATTACCCCTAGAAAAAAACAATCCACCAATCGATTAACAACCAGGTTCCTACTTACTGCTAGGTAAACAAAGGTGTGTGGAGTAAGGAAACTTGCCCAACATTTCGCCGTGCCGGGAATTGAACTCAGGTCTCACTTGCGAGGCGAGTGCTGTAACCACTGAGCTACAGGCTATGTGCTCCATATGTGCAGAAAGTGGTAAAGGGACCTTTTTTAAGCGAGCAGGATGTGGACTTCTGGTCCACAGGGCACGTGCCAAAAGCCAACTCGTGGTTCTCGTGTAGTTAAATGGATGCTTATCACTTCAGGTTTGTATTCTCAATTTGAAAATATGACCCCTTAAGTTATACACGAGCACTCTTATTGGTTACCCACCAAATAAAATAAGGCTGCACCAAAAATGTAAATTGCAATTTAGCATCTTGTGCATTTATTACAAACCACTAGAGGGCATCCATGGTATATTTTAAACCAACTTTGAATGGTTTAATTGAATTGAATTTTTATTGCGTCTAAACCAGAACAAAAAGCTTCAGGCTGGTTCCTAGCAGCAGTTAATTTGAAGGATTATTTTTTAATTTGGATAGGATCCTACATTAATAGTGATGCTTGTAAGGTTTAGAAGCAGAGGCTCATTGTAAAGCAGTGGTTGGGATAATAAAATTTAATGAGGCAGAAATAGCTGGTTTCACAGTGCAACATGCATACAGCTGACTAGCTTGATCAAGCGCTCTGAGACTCCATCCGGTGTGAAGGGCGCTATACAAATGCAAGTTGTTGTTCCTAAGGAAGGCTGACATCCGGGTCATTTGGTCACAACGGACATAATTTCCTGTTCACTGTTCGTGCAGACACTGATGACCCAGTGGAAGAGTCAGCCAGGATGTAGGGAACAGGTTGTCTTTGGAACAATGACTGTCCATTGACTATCTTTGGAAGGGGTGGCCTTTGAGCATAAAGTTGCCTAAAGCACGAAAGTCCTCTCGCTTTGTGCGAGAGGTACAGAGCTCCACTTGCGTTTAACACGCAGTGTGCAGGAAATGGAGACAGTGACAACCTGACTTTTTTTGGAATCTCACTTTTTTTTGTGCTTCTGAGGTTTTTGGGGTTTCCCTTATTAGACCCAGACAACTGTATTTCAATGGAGTTGCCTCTAATCATTTTGCCCATAATGTAGCATGAATGTGTGCCATTAACAGCATCTGCATTAAGTAACACCAACTTTTATTTATATAGTAGCCTTCACACTGGACGGTATCTCAAAGCACTTTAAAGTAGTTGAAACCTGATGTATGTATTTACTGTGCATATCTACTAATCAATTTCTGCTTTGCATTTAAAATGCAGCTTAAATATATAATATTTACATTTATGCTTTCCACACCTAAAACTGTATTAAGGACACTATTTTTTCCCCACTTCAGCTGCTGAGATCCAAAGGATTTTAAATCAATTTGGAAAACCTCAGGACAATGCAGAACTCAGACATGAACTGTGAGTATAATGTGTATATGGGATTTTACCTCTTTATATAAAATAGAAAAAGGAAGTGTTAGATTCCACAGTTTTATTAGTTGGTACATTTATTGGTTCCAGAGTAACTGGAAAATGTTGTCATGAATTCTCAGTGGAAAACATTTGGGGGAGGGTTGGTGAGACTTTCCCTTCTTTTCAATGAAGTGAGATTACCGTCACTGCCAATCAAAGCTTGGAAATGGCCTTTTGAAACAATGTTAGTGCCTCTTAATGTACACAGTGGAAATTGGAAAGGTACTCAAAGTAACAGGTTTGCTGGTACCTGATGGCCAGAAAGTGCTTGCAATGTGAACTGCATTTTTGGCAGGTAATCGCATGAATGTCATGCTGATTTGGGCCGCGATCAACTTGCAACTAAGGATTCATTAGTTGATGTGATTTACTGGGATTTCCCTACAGGAAACCGTTTGTTGCAGGTACCACAAATGTGAACATTCCTTTCAGACCTTGTGTCATAAAAGACCAGATTCGTATTTTTAAAACGTTCGATAATTGAGCCTCTTTCCAAGTTTCCTTTATTCAGTCTGTTTTTTCAGAATGTAGACTGAAAGGCGTTTCATAGTTTTTCAGATTGTGGAAGTGTATGTGTCTTTCTTTCAGCAGGTGGCAGTACAACAAATGTCTAATGCTGGGACAAGTTTGAGATTATCCATGTATTTTTGAATTCTGATAATAATAATCCTTGCATTTGATATAGGACCTTATCACATCATCAAGACATCTCAAAGCACTTAACAGGATTTTTTAAAAATAATGCGATCAACTATTGGAAATATTCTTTTATATTTTGCAGTTTAAATATTTGAATTAGCCAATTAATGATTGGATGTATTCCATAACTTGCTAAGCTACTTTCGCCATGCTGCAGCTTTATGATCTTATTCAATGAGGATTTGTCTGGTATGGAGATGGATCTATTTTGTACATTTTTAAAAAAAAAGTGAAGTTGGTTCATGGAGTCTTATAGCTCAGTGGTCAGAGCACTTGCCTCGCAAGCGAGAGACCTGGGTTCTATTCCCCGTTGGGCAAGTTTCCTTGATCTACTCGCCTGTTTAACTTGCAGTAAGTAGGAACTGGTTGTTAGTCGCTCTTTCTGGGGATAATAATCCTTAAAAAAATAATAATTTAGTCAATCAATCCATGACTATTTGTGGGACGCTGCTGGGCACAATTGGCTGCCACATTTCACCTACAATTATACAGTCAATTCACTTTACAGTATATTCTGTGAAGCACTTTGAGAAGTTTAGAAGATGTGAAAAAGTACTATATCAAATGCAAGGATTATTATGTTTTGTTTCATATAATGTCACTTTTACTGATTTGGAATTGCTACCACAGCTGAAGTTTAACAGTCAGTAAACCAAGCTCATTGCCTATGAAATTTCTTAAATCAAAGTCCATGTCACATGAAGTAAATTCTGGTATTGTCCAAATAAGTCCTCATTTTGCTCTATCCGTAGTTATTGATGGTCTTCTCTTTATATTTGTTCTGATGTATGTAAACACTAGCTTGTGGTGCTAATGCCACATTTGCTGATTATAAAATTTGGGAGCTAAAAATATAACTGAACATTGTTTAGCTTTTCTCTTTTGCATAGTCGCATTGACTTGTATCCAGTAATGTGCTTGGGCTACCTTTAAGTATATATCATAAATTCTTGGTAGAGTGAGAAAACGTAGTCTTCTTGAGATAGAATTGAAGAGCTTTGCCTGATAGGATCTTAGTAGTCTTTTTGGTGGTTGACTATCCTATCTAGCTCATCAATGACATCCAGGAGCAATTACGTTATCTGAATGCTATAGACCGACACACAAAGGATACAGAGATTCTTAAATGTACGAAAAGCTTATTGATTGCAATTATTGGAGATATGTCTGTTTGTTTACTCCCATCACTAACCTGGAGAGGGGCGAGAAAAGAACCTGAAGACATGACCTTCAAAGAGTCATGCCGCATGAGTTTAACTAGTAAAGAAGATGGACTTCTTTTACACAGATAGTTGAAATTTTTTATTTTTGAGCCAAGTAAACAAGGAACTGAGTGATAATCAATGCACACTAACCTGAGAAATTTACTGAGTGATCCTGGAGTGAGGTGTGGCTTTCCTTGCTAGTCTTCCTTACTCAGCAATTAGTTTTGGTCAATTGGTGATCAAGACTGTTTTCAGTACCAAGCATTCAAATGCTATTTTGCGAAAATGTTGCTGATACATTCTCTTGCAAAAAAGGTAATTGAGCCTATGCCATACAATACAGCAACTTGCCGTTCACATCTCATGCCTTAGAATGCTTTACAAAGTTAGTGTCAGACTCCAAGGGTGGTGGGTGGTAGTTATAGGCATGGATGAAGGGTAGGTTTTTAGGTGCATTTAACAACCAATAGAGGGGATGAGATGGAGGGGTTAGAAAAATTAACTTCAAGGTTAGGGAAGTAGTAGCTAGGGCTCCACCACCAATGGTGGCGTAGAGAGGGTGGGTAATGTGCAGCAGTCCTGATTTAGCTGAGGGGAAGGGGGCAAGTAGAGCTGTGAGGTAAGAGAAGATTGCAGAGATAAGAGAGGTGCTAGGTAGGCCCTGAAAGGATTTATAGGTGAAGATGAAGATTTTAAGTTGATTTATTTGAAGACAGCGAGCCAGTCTAGCCTGGTGGACTGGGATGATGGTGTGAATTTGGTGCAGGTGAGAATGGGTGGCAGCATTTTGGATTAGCTTATGCTTGTGAAACTAGGGAGATTAGTAATAATAATAATAATAATAATAATCCTTGCATTTGATATAGCGCTTTTCACGTCGGGAGGACGTCCCAAAGCGCTTCACAGAATAGACTGTAAAGTGAATTGACTGTATATTTGTGGGCGAACGCGGCAGCCAATTGCGCACAGCAATGTCCCACAAACAGTCGTAGATTGAAAATGACCAATTTTATTATTGTTTTTGGTTTTGGAGGGATTATTATTAGGCGTGTGGAGTAAGGAAACTTGCCCAAGGTTTCGCCCTGCCTGGAATTGAACTCAGGTCTCTCACTTGCAAAGCGAGTGCTCTAACCACTGAGCTACAGGACTCCACTAGTAAGGAGAATGTTTGAAACATCAAGGCAGGAAGTAACAAAAGTGTGAATGAGGTTTTGGTGGCATTTGGTGTGAGATGGTGGTCTAGTAGTTTTCTACAGAAAACTGGTATTTCCTTGTTCTACACCATTTATACTTTGGGGATTAATTGTTGAATATTTGCCTCCAATCCTAGCCAACAGAAGCAGCAGTTAGTCAGTCAACTTGCCAAAGAAACTGAGAAGTACGTCAAGGAATTTGGATCATTACCAGCATCAGGTGAACAGGTAATGTTTTTTTTCTTTATAGCAGTTTGTATTTTAAAAGTACATGTGCATTTGAATTTATAGTTCTGTCAATACCTAACAATCAAGTCCATCTCTTAACCTTTAGATTTCAATTGAATATTTGAAGACTTTTCTATCTTACAGTAACTGGAGGAATAGGAAACTGCTTGTTCTCTCAAATCTGTAAAATCAACAAATTAGAGTATATGTAGCATGGTTTCAATATCTGGTGTTCAGTTCCAAATATTCAATTTAAAAATACAAGTGCAATATTTCAACTATTCTCTAATCTATTCAATTTAAAAATTGATATTGAATTAAGATGGTATATTGCAGGTTTTAATATACGGCGTGTGTGATAATTGTGTTTAAGGCAACCATCAGAATAACTTTGTCCAATTTAGTTTTACAAGATTTGAAGTGCACATTTCAGCTTTATTCACAAAGATTGTAATTTGTAACTATCAATATGTTAACTTAATTGCATTTAAAGCACTCTTCACACAGGATAGGGTCTTGGAACTCTCTAGTGGTGGGCTTGGACGCTGAGCAAGTGGGGAGGGGGAGATGACTATAGGTGAGATCGAAAGGGGTACATCTCAACAACAACGACTTGCACTTATATAGCGCCCTCCAGGCAGGATAGCATCTCAGAGCAATTAACAGTCGCAGAGCCTGATTCCAAGCCTGGGATGGAGGTGGCCGTAAGCACGATCGAAGAGGAAGGTTTTCAGGTGGCACTTTTTAAATAAAAAGGGGAGAGAGGAGGCAAGGCGGAGTAATTGAGGGTGGGGTATTCCAGAGTTTCGGGCTGTAGTGGCTGAAAGCGCGACCTCCGATGGTGGGGTGAGGGATGATCAGGAGGCCGGTGCTAGTCGAGGGGAGGAGGTGGGTGGTGGATTGGGGAGTGAGGAGGTCGGAGAGGGTGGGAGGTGCCAGAGAATGAAGGGAGGTAAGAGAGGATGGGAGACAGAGGAAATGAGGCAGGGAATTTGGGGGCATAGTGGCCTGAAGACCTCGTCACCAATAGTAATGTTCAGGGGTCAAGGAGGTGCATCATAAGAGGCTCTTGTATTCTACTCCTAACATCAAAGATTGGTGGATGTGGTATGTTTGAATGGTATGTTCCACTGGAATGGATACAATCAACCTTTTATGGTGTTTTTGGGTGCCTTCCATCAGAACAGAGAGATACTCATCAGGACCGATCTGCACAATATGGCCAGAGAATTTTATGTTGGGTACTGATCTTTTTGATTATAAAACATTTTTACTAGATAATCTTGTGTGTGTGTGTATATATATATATATTATATATAAAGTATTTGAAAGAACCTTGTAGTTGCGATTTCTATTCTAAAGCCACTTTTGGTGATTTTTAAATGTCCCTGATCTTGTACTACACATTTTTTGTCTGTTTGTTTGTTGTTTTAGCGACAGAGAAAGATACAAAAAGATCGCCTAGTTGGGGAATTTACTGCAGCACTGACCAATTTCCAAAGAATTCAAAGAGAAGCTGCTGAAAAGGAAAAAGAATTTGTAGCCAGAGTGCGTGCTGCTTCACGTCTGTCTGTAAGTATTCACTGCTCAGATGAGATATCGCCTTTTTCATGTATAGCCCTACTTTGGATTTTGGCTTGCCCAGTCTCTCCTGAAAACCTGTATAATACCACGTCTTAATGTCTTCATAGTCTTAACCCCTAGCAGTCCCAACTCACTACTCTACTGAAGTCTCTCCTGTAAACTCTTAATATATTTTGTATATCAGATTCAAACTTGCCTTAATGGAAGAAAATAGAGCTACCCTAACCCATGGGCAGGAAACATGGATTTCTTCTGTCCATACCTGCTAACTCTGCCAAGTTTCGACTGTTTTTCAGTTAATGGTTCTAGTGAAACAGGGTTTTGAAGATGATAATAATCTTTGCATTTGATATAGCGCTTTATCACATCTTTGAGACATCTCAAAGTGCTTCACAGGATACACTGAAGTGAATTGACTGTATTTTGTGGGCCTGTTTATATATTTTAAGATATATACATATTTTAAAATGTATTTGAAGTTGGCCTGTTTACATAACGTATCCAGAGTGAAAAGTGGTTACTCATTCCTTGTGTGGCTGGGTGTGGGCCACGGTTCAGGATCTGAAGAAACAACCACAGCAGTGTGAAGACAATGTTTTAATTGCTTTGCTGCTTGGTTCCTCAGTGACATCAATGTTAATGTATTGTGACAACCAATCCACTGACTGCCTCTGAATCATTTAGATAATGAGTCTTCTCACCTGCAATTAAGGTGAATACAACTTTCTGTTAAATGCTCTATTCTCATATGCGCTAAAGACTGTTTTGACAAAGGAACAGCCAGAGTAGAAAACATTAATAATTTCCCAAAGGTGCATTTTAGCCCTGTTTACGATAGTAAATTTTAGTCAGTGTTGTACAATTACCTCTTCTCTGTGCTATACTTGGAAGACTGCACTTTTTAGAAAAAAAATCAGGCAAGCCAAAATATTTGCATCATTCCACGGAGATCTTCGTAGCAAAAAAAGGTGAAATAAAATCGTAGAATCGGTTATCCAAGTTAATACTGTTGTTCAGTTATGTACTCCCTTTCAGCCAGAAGTAGACTACTGGCCATCTAGCACCACACCATCCAAAGCTTCCTGTTCAATCCCTTTTAGTTTAAAATCCTGTCATTTGTTCCACCACCTGTACCTGTTTTATTCCACATGCCTATCACCCTTTAATTTGTTATTCTTTTGACTGAAGTGGTTTAAGATTTCAGTAGCTGGAGAATTTATTTCAATTACTTTGAATTTTTAACTCTGTAGTCACATTGGCTTTGCTTCACTTTTGAGTTCTCAAGAGAGATCCTGCCAGTTTACTAAATTTCACTTGTTTTGCCCACAAAATTCGCAGTCAATCCAATATACAATATATATTTAAGTGATATGTATAAGGCTCTATGCAATTTAACTCCTGTATTCAAGTGTTGTCAGTGACGGAATATTTCTAGTCACATGACCTTGAAATCAGGAACAACAATCAGTTCAGCAGCATTTCTTGGGTCAAAAATGTTGGATTTACTTTAGACTTCTTGCCCAAGCTTTCATTGCTAAGGAGTTCATAATTTAATATGATGGTTGTTAATAACTGTACTCCTTAGGATAGGTGAAATGATTCCATGTGGTAAGAACTGGAATCTGTGGAGGAAAGGTTGCTGTTCATAGTTTAGTATATTTGTATTATAAAATACGAGCCGCTAAACCAAACCTGTTTTTCCCATTCATCATGCACTTTTTTCCTGAGCCATTTATTTTTGTACCTATTTTTGCTTGATATGACTTTTTAAATGCATGTAAATGCTATAATGTAGAAAATATGCTCATATTTTTCAATTCTGTTATTGTAAGTTATTTTGACTAACTACCAGATTAGTATTGCATGTCGCAATCTTATTCAAGGCCACTTCTATGACCTTGAATGAGATTGTGCCCAAAAAATAATGATTTGGTCACTCAGTCCATGACTTTTTTGAGACACTGCTATGCGCAATTGGCTGCCGCGTTTCACCCACAAAATATATAGTCAATCACTTTACAGTATATTCTGCGAAGCGCTTTGAGACGTCTCGAAGACGTGATAAGGCTCTATATCAAATACAAGTATTATTAAATATTTTAAGATAATTTTGTATTTGAAGAAGACAAGGCGGAATACTTAAACGACTTCTATTCCTCTCCCAGACAGGTTTGCCTGATATTACTCAGAAAGAGGGAAAGCTTGTATTTCTTGATAGGTAAGCTTTGCTTCACAATTCTTTTTAATGAAATGTAACCATATCTTTCTTTTGTAAAAACCATACAAAGTTTCCAGTGGATCATTTCTAAGATGCTTGTGGTTACAATTGAGAATATTTCCTTTATCTACTGAAGAAGAAAAATACATAAATTGGTATGGAGTTGTCAAAACACTTCGTTACTTCAGTTTCACGTAATTGCTTTTATAGAATTTGATTTAGATATTTAACATATTTGCCATTCACCAAAATGGTTTTGTTTATATATTTAAAAGTACAAAACAATTGTAAGATTAATAGCTGTTTTTTATACAGTCAGGATCAGGTGGAAGATGGAATTACAGAAGAAGATCTGGAGCTCATCAAAGAAAGAGAATCTTCTATTAGGCAGCTGGAGGTATATCATCTTTACACAAATACATCAGGCAGACCCCGTTTTGACTTTTTCTTAAACATTTTTTTGGTCAATTGGTTTTGACACATGCAGCAACCAACAGCATGCTGAAGGCTATCCAAACTCTAATAAAATTACATTTGTATTGCGCCTTTCACATTGGGAGGACATCCCAAGGCGCTGGACAATCAGTGTTTCGGACCCGAGCTGGGGTTTGGAATTGGGGAGGGTGGAGGGCGGGGGAGAAGCAGGTTGATCAAAAGTACGGTGAAGGGGAGGGTCTTGAAATGGGTCTTGAAGAAGACGCAGGAGGGGTGAGGTGGAGGCACTGCAGGATGGAGTTACAGAGGGTAGAGGCAGAATGGCAGAAGGCCGGTCAACAGTGGGGCGGGGGACGTGAAGCAGGCCGGAGCCTGCTGAGTGGAGGGAGCGGGCAGGATGGGTTACGAGGTCATGGAGGTAGTGGGGAGCGAGGCTATGGAGAGCTTTGAAGGTGAGGACCAGGATCTTGAACTCTATCCTCTGAGTGACGGGAAGCCAGTGGAGTCAGGCAAGGATGGGGTGATAGGGTTACAGAGCCTGGTGAGGGAGAGACATGGGCTGCAGATTTCTCGATGATCTGTAGACTATGGACGGAGGAATTGGAGAGGCTGATAAGCAAGGAGTTTGCATAGTCAAGCCTCGATGTTATGAATGCATGTATGCATTCATAAGCTGAGAGTTCCACCTTCATGCCATCTATGCATTGGAAGATCCCTATCGCTGGATTGGACTTTCTCAACTTGGAGAGACTTGCTTTGTGTAATTCTGGAAAGTGTTAGGTGCAGGTTAGTGAGGCCAATGCTTGGGGACCGCAGAGTGCACTTGGGATTACTACTGGAATTTAATCAACTAAAATCCATATGTTGCCATTGAGAGCACTATTTGGAAAGCTTTCTGCTGCTTGTCCAGCTAGGACCTCCCTACCAGTTAGAACCTTGACTTGCAGGGTTAACAGGAGCCTAGTGGGAAGAATCCATGCCCTCGATGACTGGTCTACTTTAAGTTCTACCGATGACCCAGGCTGTCAACAAAGCCTTAGAGTATTGTGGACCTGCCTGGCTCAGGAACTGGACAACTAAAACCGCTTCAGAGCTGACTCGTTGCTGTCATACTGTTGTCCAGCATCTAACCCTTGAGCCAGCAAGGAATAGGAGAGGTTTCATATGCCTTTCAAAATCTGCACGTCTACAAAGTAAGTAACTGATCAGTTCTTACTTGAAGTGGTTTTACATAGGGTAGTAATTCCTTCAAATCCTTTACTATATAGCATTTGGGCCCTCTTTGTGGCTATCAGTTGTTCATTTCTCAATAAGGTAGTTGGGAGCACTCTTCAAGAACATGACTTGAGGTGGTTGTCACCTTTTCTTATAAGATTGAAGAGAGTGAGCTCATACAGCTTGTTGATCCAGCTTTCCTATCAACCTTCATGGGAATGTATCTGAAAGCTTCTTCAATCCATTTACCCAACATATTACTTAAGTCTGACTTCAGAATAAAAAAAAATCATGACATTTCCTTGAATATTGACATTAAATAAGAATTGGTGTTTATTTTCTTGCATGTTGTACTTAGCAGTTGACATACTGTTTGGCCGTATTGGAATTTTAGCTGATGCCCTCAAACTCAGGCTTCCTGAGGAACAGAAGCCTATTATGTGGGCTTGGCTTAACATTACTTTTGTTCATTTCAGTCTGATATTCTCGATATTAATGAAATATTTAAAGACTTGGGAATGATGATTCATGAACAAGGAGATCTGGTTGGTAAGCATCATGCTTTTAACTTTTGTGTTGTCTTGTATGACTTGTTGTTTTCAAATGTTGGATGAATTAGTAACTTGGTTTTCTCCAGATTTGTTAATTGCCATTAATACAGTATAACAGTGTTGAGGATGTTCTGTTTCCCAGACTCCCCAGCTCCTCTCTACACAAACTGCAGTTCATGTCCTCTCCCACAACAGGTTCTACAACCTCTTCACCCCCTTTCTTACTACCTCTACTTGTTCCTCATCCCCCAATGGATTAAATTATTTGATTGTGAGTAGAAATTAACTATCTAATGTAATAGGACCAACTGGATTCAGCTCTATTTTCATTTCTGAAATTGTGGATTCTTTTGATATTCTCACAGAAAGGTAAATATTGTAGGTAGAAATGCAGGAGATATAACTATTATATTAATGGGACCAAACTTGGCCTGTGAGAGTCTGACCCCAAAAAGCTCAGAGAGCATAAAATACCCAGTTAATCAATTTTCATGGTGGTTTCATGGCAGCTCCAATTTAGCTCTATTTGAAACATCCATTCTGCTCAAAGATGCAGATCTGGCTCCTCCCTGAACAGTCACTGAGGAACCTGGTGCAGGGTATTTCTGTGCTTCTCAGTCTTCTGGAGGCACCAATTCTTGTATTGGCAGCTCATCTGGTACCTGCCTCCTATTGTTTTTTTTTCTAAGCCTGGAACATGTTGGTAGGCTTGAACGCTTGGTTCAGAATTACACATCGCAGTATATTCTGAATAGTGTGACATCCTTGATTTCCTTGTAACACAAATGTCTGTATATTTATCTAGATAGTATAGAGGCTAATGTGGAAACTGCTGAGGTGCATGTTCAACAAGCAAATCAACAGCTGAGCAGGGCAGCAGATTATCAGGTAAAGCATTGATAGAGCATTAAAAACTATGAATAGTTTTCTCAGGACTGGCTGTGGATAGACATAATATTTTCACATTTTATTGCCATACTCAAAAATGTTTGTCTCCAATAACTGACTTGTTTTTCACAGCGCAAATCTCGTAAGAAGATATGCATCTTGATTGCAATACTGGCCGTCTTAGCTGTGGTACTGGGAGTGATTATCTGGGCAGCAGTTTCAAAATGAATTCCCAAGGATTTAGCCTAGACATTGCACTCGATCGACGACTGATAACATTAAATGGCAAAATACTAAGAATGGAAAATCTACTGAAACCTATTAATCCAAACAAGTTATTTAGGAAATTATTCCAAGAGTGCTTTGCTGTAACAAAGAATCTGTATGTTGTATTTATAATTAACTTACTATGTTTAGCAAATTAGAAAAATAAGTGCCACTGTTTTAATTGCTCAAATGTTGACTCATCATTTTCAGGATAAAATGTCTTTAAATTTTTATGTGCCAGGTTATCTCTGGGTTGTGTAAGCATAGCCTTTTTTGTTTACTTCAACCGGATTTCCACACTCGGTTAGTTATACATGTGTGGATCTGTGCTGAAGTGGAAATTCAGTTTTGCACTAAAGATGCCACATTAACCTTTTCTAATTTTCTCAACTGATAACTTGGATTTCACACCCACCCATAGTAGTCACTCATAATAACAATATATTTGGTCACTTCATGGAAAAAGTAATGATACACCTTTAGAATTCTTATTGATTTTTACTGTGATTTTTCTTTTGAGGGGGGGTCTTTGCAACATTGCACTGTATAGAGCCACTCTTTGTTTATACCAGGTTCATCCTTTATATATTGTCTTAATGAGCAAGACAAGGATTATATTTGTATTCGAAGGGATAGGGTTGAATGAGTGTTTTAATACAATTTGTGCCATTTTGTGAATGCTTGCATAGTTTTCTTTCAAATCTGGATTTGAATTAGATATAAGAAAATGTAAATATGCTACTTAATAAAAAAAGGACAAGATTGTTATATTGTGATGTGAAGTGAATTGTTACTTAGTCAGACAAGTGTCTAACTGTAGAAACCCATCTACATGCTTGAGTGTTGAACAGAATTCCACATATCTGTACCATCAACACATGGAAATTTCCATGTATAAAATGAAAAGTGCACTCTCTCCCTGGAGGGAGGTCCCATACTTACCTAATTCTAGATTGTATTAGGTGCACATTAGTGAGAACCAATACTTGGGCCTTCCCAGAGTGTGTATAGGGGTACGACTAGTCTAACCAGTTAAAACTGCCTAACTTGCCATTGTGATTAATATTTGACAAACTTCCCATTGCTTTTCCATCTTGTATCCATCTAGTACCCTACCAGTTTGGGATTTCAGGTTTAACGAGAGGCGAGTGGAAAGAATCCATCTCCTCCAAGTCCTGCCAATGACGCTGGCTGGCCTGTCATTTCTGGTTGCCATGATATCAGAGCTGCCCAGGTCTTAGAACCAGAGGAGAGCAATGAAAATAATCCTCATAATGTCCCTGGTGTTTCAGAAGGGATTGCATTGAGATGCATAATTTTAAATGTGTTTGAAAAAATAAACCCAGCATAATTATTTAGGATGCACCAACACAGTGGAACAGGACATGGGATTAAAGTTGCAAATGGCAATTTCAGGACACCGGGAAGTATTTCTTTACCCAGAAGAAACTTGATGATGAACAGGTTGCTAGGCCACAACTATTTACAAAAAAGAATAGTTGGATGCCGTGATGGCAAGATAGTAATTGGGTCTTCTAGAACAATTGGATCAGATGGGCTGAAGAGTCTTCAAGTTAACCAAGCTCTGGTATTTTGACCCAGGAGTACAAATTGAGCTTTGCATGAGTTTCAGAGATTTATTTGGAATATTTTTTCAAAGAAAATTGTGCAGTACAATAAATGGTCTATCACTAACTATATAGACCAGTATAATTTTTAATGAAATGTTTACATTTAAAAGATCCCATGCAATTGCTCTTGCTTTGCAAACCCAAACTACTTTTGTCATGTGGTGCAGACAACTGACTGGTTTACTTGGCATCCCAAGGTAGACTATTTGTTTTATGAAAAGATTGTTGCTGCATCTAATTCAAAATGATTGCCTTTTAGCAAACTCTCAAAGGTCGAATACTGTTTTAAAAAAAATACTCCACAGAGTCTAAAGTATGAAGTCTCTTTGCTATAGGTGTTATGTTTTGGGCTTTTAACCTTAATAATTCCCTAGTGTTATGCTACTTCATGGCTTTAATATTTTCCATCCTTGCCTTGCATCAGCAGGTTACTTTGCACAAACTATTCCCAGATGTTGAATGAGCCAAGTAGAAGATTTGTGCTTTTGAAAGCTTTACATTTACACTGGTAACTCTGTAGCTAGGATAATTTCCATAGTTCAACAACTTGCATTTATATAATACCCTTCATGGGGAAGCGTCACAGAGCGCATAAAAGAAGCGGAGCCTGATGCTGAGCGGGTAATGGAGGAGTTGACCTCCTGATGGAGGAGCTTGGTCAAAAAGGAAGATCTTCAGGCGGGATCTGAAAAAGGGGAAGGAAGGTTGAGGGAGAGAGTTTCAAAGTTTTGGGGGGTAGTGACTGAAGGCACCGCGCCCGATGGTGAAGAGGACAAAGGACAAGTAAGAGGCCAAAGCCAGCCGAATTAAGGTGGCAAATTGCAGCTATATTTGGAGTCCTGTAGCTCAGTGGTCGGAGTGCACGCCTCGCAAGCGAGACACTTGGGTTCAATTCCAGGCAGGGCGAAACCTTAGGCAAGTTTCCTTACTCCACACGCCTAATAATCCTCCGAAAAACAAAAAACAATAATAAATTGGTCACTTCAACCCACAACTGCTGTGCGCAATTGGCTGCCGTGTTTCGCCCACAAAATATACAGTCAATTCAGTTTACAGTATATTCTGTGAAGCGCTTTGAGACATCGAGAAGATGTGAAAAGCGCTATATCAAATGCAAGGATTATTATATAATAAAGTGAATCCCCTTCACTCATTCCAATTTGTTTGCAATGAAATTAGACCACCTGATTTTACACGAGCACAAATTACACATGAATCTTTATGAGTACTTATGTTTTTTTAATTAACTATGAAGTGTAGATAATTTGATATTCCAAATGATGTGCTGGTTAGGTGGTAGCTAGGTACATTGTAGTTGGATATGATGGACAGCTTTCTCTATTGCAAAACTGTTTGCAAACTAGTGCTGGTTGTGTACTGGAGATGGGTAAAGTAATTTCCTTTGTAAAGTAAATAAATGTTTTAAAAAAATAGTTAACCTTGAGGACAAAACTAAGTGAGTAAATTAAATGCATCTTTCCTCAAAGCTTTTAAAAAAAAATAGAGCAGAGGTAATGTTCAGACATCAACTGAATTCTCCATATTTTTTATATATATTTGTGTATTGCAAATCAATGTATCACATCAATTGTTTCTTCCCAGAGGATACCAATGCTCTGAAATTCTTTGTCTACATACTATGCATTAACCATTCATGATTTCAGTGGAGATTTTGCAATGGTACTTGCCTGTGATTCATCAGCATAATTCCTTACGTTCACTACTTTAAAACCATGCACTGAAGCTTGTGCAATGGCAACAGTCGGGTACGAATAATTAGTTGCAGAGGCCGATGACAATTACATGCATCCAGTGTGCTGGAGATTGACTGGCATTAATGTTTGATGATGCTATTGAACCAGAGGTTACAAACTGGCATTCAAAAATTATGGTGATATTTGCCACAGGAGGGTGCTACAGGAGGTGAGTTCCTTATCTGTAATTCTCTTTCTGTTACTTCTGTTATATCTAAGATGCTACACTGCATCTATTATGATTTCTAAAGGGTCCGATAGCTATTAAATTGTCAACTAATGTGTGTTGGAGAAACCAGTTTCATGTTCCATTGGATTCCTTTATCTTCAGAGTTTTCACTATAAACTCAAATGAATATTTCATCTTATAAATGTGACATGGAAAAAGATTTCTTCATTTGTGGGATTCACATTCAAGGGATTTCACAATGGCAAAGTCTCATTATTCAGGCTTCAGAATAAAAAAACTGAACCTCAGTACTGCAGACATCACACACTGAGATATGAAACCTTTTGATGAGTTGCTCTAAAAGTTAATTTGTACAGTACATCGTTGTTCTATATTATTTAATTATCTTGAGTCAGAATTGGCTCTAAATAAAAGTAGTATTTTACTACACAATATTCCGGTCTGAGCTATGTCTGATGAAAAACCTAGTGGTAGACAAGAAGTACATACACGTCATGAAACAAGTTTATTGTTTGCTTGTATTGGATCTGTCTGAAGTCGAACACAGATGTGCAACATAGGAATATAGGGTTTAGAAGTATGACATTCAGTGAATTACTGGTGATCAATTTACGTTGTTGTCAATTTCCAATTGAACAGTCCGCTTGTTGAAAACGCCATGTGTATTATTAAAAAAGCAACATCCTGGGAGATCAACAAGCAGTAAAATATTTGTGAAAAATTTCATCTTTCAATAATTATTTGCAATAAAAATTATCCTGCAAAGATGAAAGCGATTTGACAACACAATTTCATTTCTCAGCATAAAAAGTAAAAAAANGTTTAAATATAAAAATGCACAGTATGTTTATGTTTATACATGTTGATCACTTTCTTGTATTAACAACAGTACATATAAGGAGTAACAAAAGGATAATAAGTTTATCTGGGCAGTGCTGTATTGTCTGACAGGTAATTGGCTCTGGTTTGGGTTCCCAAGGTACTAGTGAATCTGGTGGTAACATTGGTATGCCATGCACCTATTAAAAGAAGAGAATTGTTTTATTTTCCACATCAGATTTCCAACTTTCTCCTACAATACAAATTTACATTTATGTTACTCCCTTTACATCAGGAGGACCTCTTAAGGTGCTGGACATTCCAGGGTTTGCACCCTTCTATAAAAATTACTATAGGAGAAATAGGATACATGTCTATGAACATTGGTTCTTTGGTTCGGCTGTTGGTCAACTCTGAACGCTATCCCACAATCCCTGCACCTCGCCCCTTCCCTTGCCTCATTCAAGACCCATCTCAAGACCCTTCTCTTCGACCATGCTTTTGATCACCCTCCCCGATCCCGACCCCCAGCTCGGATCTGAAACACTTGACTGTCTAGCACCTTGGGACGTCCTCCCGACATGAAAGGAGCTATACAAATGTAATTTTGTTGTCATTGTCAAGGACAACCTGCTTCTAGTGACAACTGACAATTGTGAAACCCAGCCGGTGTTCAGAGTAGCAGTTTGGGAATGGATGCTCCACCACGACAGTTAGGGCTAAGGGTAATGGAGGAATGTATACCCTAGTTTGGAGAAAGGATGGGAACAGAGCCTGAATAAGCAGGAATACAATTTATGGCAGGCTGCAAAGTTTTGCCATGAGGGTAGTAATCAATGTGTGATCCAAACTGAATCTGCATGCTTCCGCTGATATGAGATTATTATTATGAAGGATCACATTTGAACTTGGGATCAACAAATATAATAATACTGATAATCCTTGGATTGGATTTTATATAGCTCCTTATCATGCCTTTGCGACGTCTCAAAGCGCTTCACAGAATATACTGCAAAGTGAATTGACTGTATATTTTGAGGGCTAAATGTTGAGATGGAGTTTCCTACCCAAGCCCCCATTAGAATATTTTTATTACTAGATATGTACATTTGCTCTAGAATTAAAGCCTTGAAATTATTATGTTTCTGAGTATTGATTTGTTGTCTTCATTTAAAATAAAGTGAATAAAAAGCACAGAAGAGAACACTCAACCCAAGTTCAGGTACAGAGCACCAATAATATAGCCCTCAAAAAGTTAAAGTATACTGACCAGCCATTCTCCTGGGTTGTGTTTAGCACATCTAACGTTCATCTCAATCTTATGTACAAGATCATTAAATTCTTTTCCTTTCTTCCTGGACCATCGAAATTTATCCATTGCTTCAGTGAAGAAAAGGTTCTTGTATTTTTTAGGGCTTTTGATGATAAAGGGCCATGTCCTAAATGCAAAAATGGAAATGTATCAGAATGTAACTTATGGTGCAAGATGAATATCAGTGTCACCTTATTACAGTATTTATGTTAATATTTTACAAATTGTTAAACTATAGGACAATTGTATATGAGGTGTACACTCCAAAATATGGATGTGCTAACCACATTGTATCCCTGTTTATTCAGGAAGGTAGCAGTTATGTCAGACATGTTGAAATTGCTTGAAACCAGTCATCTATTTAGGGGAGAGGCTAAAAAAAAAATCCCACCTACTTTTCCAAAAGTGTTGAGATTCTGTCATGGTTGCCAATAGAAATTCTGTTTTATTTTGTTTCTACTTGCTGTTGTGATAGAATTCCACCCTTTGAGATTGGGAGAAGGAATAATCTCTAAAGGGCTGGGATTTTGTTGTGATAGCAAATAGAAACAGAGTGAAATAAAAACTCTCTATTTCTATCGGGTACTGTAGCAGAATTCCAACCCTTTTGGAAAAATTGATGGGATTTTTGTTAGTATGGGGGCTTGGCTTTCCCTATCCTCCTATGATGGGCTGTCACTGCTTAACACACCGAGTACACAGTTGATTGCAAAGAATGTTAATCGACTACTGTCAGTATGGTATCCTCCAAAGAAATGTTATCTTCTGTACAAATGATATGTTGTCATCTCACCTACCTCAGAACATATTATTGCCACTGAAATTAACACTGGGAGAAATCTTGCTTCCTCCAGCTGTGTTCTATATAAGACCTCGTTCTGAACCATATGTTTAACTCTGAGCAGCGGAGGCAGCATTAAAAAGTGATACAACAAGATGAATACAACACACACGGTTTGAAATAGTTCCAGACAATTCCAGGTCAGAAGGAGAACTGAGGAAAAGGCCTGGTGGAGACTAAACTACTTGTAAAAGAATAATTCTTGGTTTAGGTATTGTCTGTTTTTGGTAGTCAGAAAAAGTGACCCGTGGCCATCCCTCCAAAGCAACTGGCAAAACATAGAGCCAGGCACAAAAGACAATTGTGCTCAGTCATTCAGCATCCGAATGATTATTGTTAAAGTTTATTAAGGGATCAACACCAATTCTAGTCTAGAGGAAAAAAGTCCCTAATAATCTGAATCCCTGGGAATAAGTAGTTAAGCACATATTCATGAGTATGTGGAGGTCAGAGTTCATTTTGAAAATAGTATGCATCTTAAATGAACTTATTCAAGACTGAGATAGATAGATTTCTTATTGCAAAAGGCATTAAGGGATATGGGGATAAGGCAGGGTCAGGTTATTAGCTGGAGTTAGATTAGAAGATCAGTCACGATTGAATGGCGGGGCAGGCTCGAAGGGCTGAATGGCCTACTCCTGCTCCTACATGTTATGTTACTTGCTCATGTGTTTTCAGGTCAGTCTAAATCCTGGAGCTAAAACGGTTTCTTTAGCAGAAATATAAAATATCCTGTTTGTTCTATTGTGGTCAATAATTTTATTGGTGATAATGTTTTATCTATGGAAATCAGAAAGAATAAAGTAAAATGAAATCCTCAGCATTGCTATGTGAAAAACCTCATGTCCAGGCCAAGAGTGAAGCTTTTCAGTCTCTAAATTGGCATCTAAGACAGGGAAGGATGCCAAAGGCTGCTAAGTTGAATGGCAGCTGGTTGGAGATGTACCCATCAGATCTGTTTCTTCTGGCTGGGAGAGACAATCTGGCGGGACTCCATGAGGTCACTTTATTATAAGAAAAATATCCTTTCTGAGAAGAAACATTTCCCACATTATTATCCCTCAGTATTTCTGAGGGCCTATTTATACTGCTGTGTTACGCTACACCCTCCTGCCTGTAATGTGTGCCCAATACAATATCAGGGATTTTTCCTTAATATTATTAAAGATATTATTGGCTCCAGTAGCATTAAAATGTCAGTGACATAATCTGTTGAAATGAACCTTTATATATGGCGGACTTGTCCACTGGTGATAATTGCCTCATTGTGTTTCTTATCAGCCGCTTGAGCTGTTATCTGAAAGCAACATATGCTTGGCCACCATCCTTCTGTAAACTTCCAGAAACTAACATACTCAAATATGGCCATAAAGCAAATCCTGGCAGTACGGTCCACACCTTTACAGTGGCTATGTTTGCATCACGCAATTTCAACCCGTACATTGCTGTAGCACAAGCCTGGTGGAACTGAAAAATCAGATATACTCACACAACTGGTTGGTAAATTTCTTTGACTCCGATAAATTTCAGCTGCTGAGTTATTTCAGGAAGACTCTCACATCTAGCGAGGTCTATTTTTGGATAGTACAGTAAGTATGACAGACACATTTCATCTCTTGTGCTTAGACCACCCTACAAAAATAGCAAAAATACAGACGTTAACAGCTGTTTTATTCTTACTAGGAAAAGCAGCTGCAAAAATACATACATTTACAGCTGTTTTATTCTTACTAGGAAAAGCAGCTGCATGTTTATTTCAGTCCCACAGATTTATACCGCAAAGTGGTGTAGCAAAGATAATTTAAAATCTGTACCAGTCTGCAATAATGTCAGAGTCATCAATGTCAACAGAATGGAACATCACAGATTTTAACACAAATATATAGTTTAAATTAACTCATTTCAACAAGAAGGATTTTGTATCAGATTATTTACTGACTTACTGATTTATTGATTTACTGACTTACTTATTAAGTAAAAATACAAAGATTGAGGAAGCTACTTCATCCCTTTGTACCTCTGTTTACCTAGCAGTAAGTAGAAACCTGGTTATTAGTCGTTTGGTCGATCGCTTTCTGGGGGTCATAATCCCTCTAAAAAAAAGTTTTTTGAAAAAATTTGGTCACAATATCCACAACTGTTTGTGGGTCACTGCTGTATGCAATTGGCTGCCGCATTTCGCCCACAAAATACAGTCAATCCACTTCACAATATATTCTGTGAAGCACTTCGAGATGTCTCAACAACGTGATAAGGCGCTAGATCAAATACAAGGATTATTTATTTTCTTAGATCACCTGGAAGTTTACAGAAGGACTGTGGTCAAGCAGAAGTTGTTCTCAGATCATGGCTGAAGGACTGGTATAAAATAATTTTCCTCTAAATAATGGGGTTGAATTTGCGATATTTACAAATTGCATTCAGCCTGTTAAATTTCAATTTGTGCATTTGATATAACACCTTAACATGTCCTTGTGTTTCAAAGCATTTCACAAATGTTTACTGTGAAGTTTAGTGTATTTATAGGTGATTGCCGCAGCCAGTTTGCTTACAGCAACGTCCCACAAATGTCACATGAAGTCGATGACCAATTTCATCTGAGAGATTATCGGTGAAACCTCCAGGAGAAACTCCTTTATCTTTTCAGGTAGTGCTATGGGATCTTTAATGCCTACCGGAATAGACAGATGGGGTCTTGGTTTAATATTTCATCTGAAGCACACCCCAGCACTGCATTTTTGCAACCAGTGCTTAAGAGTCATTTGCTACATTGTGGCTCACAAATTTTGCCATCCAGGAGTTGGAATTAACTCAACAAATCCAGTTTGCAAATATCTCAAATCAGGTACCAATACAAACGTTCATCTTGCTTTACTCCTTGCTGGGGTTACCTTGCACCTGGAAGGCAGGATATTGGCAGAAACATTAACCTTTTCAGAAAGCAACTCTGTTCTGAAACTAGAAAATTATGATTTAATTAGATCGTGATCTGGAAGCACCTGAACCAATACAATTAGTATTTGGTTTCTATTTTCTCAAGTTGTACCTCCACCCTCGAATCCATATACTGGTTTCTAGTTTCCCTCAGCAGAAATGATAGGTCATTCTATTTGTGGGACATTGCTGTACACAAATTGACTGCCATGCTTGCCAACTAAATAGTTGCTGCACTTTGCAGAAAAAACAAAGTGAAGCAATTTGAAATATCTTGACATGTGATAAGGTGCTATATCAAATGCAGGATTATTATTATTGTAAACTACACTTTATTGTACTTCATCCTTTTCTTACCCATGTCATATTGCTTCGGGATGAGGTGTTATACTGGCATTCAGTCACCAAACTATCACCCTGTGAAAACATTTCAAATGTCCATTAAAAATAGTCAGACGGAAATAAACATTAGAATTGTATTGTACATTTAATGCAAGCCCATATATACAACTTGCATTTATATAGTGTCTTTCTATTAAAAGAACATTTCAAAGCACTTGACAAATGTTGCGAAAACAAGACATTTATGGAAGTTTATCAAAGACATGGTCACAGATCTATATTTTTAAGAGGTTTCAAAGGCAGTGAAAGGTAGAAAAGTGAAGAGGTATTGGCAGAGAGTTCCAGAAGACAAGACATGGTGGTTGATATCATAGCCTCCAATGGTGAAACAAAGAGAATGGAGAGCAAGCATTATAGCCAGGGTGTAAAGTAGAGGGTACAGGCTGGAGTGTACATAGATGCAGTGTAGTGGACTGTGGAGGCATTGAAGAACAGGACAATGCTCTAGTATTCTGGCCACCGATGACACTTGGTTAGGCTGCAGTTAAATAGGTGTGTGGAGCCTTGCGTGGGGTAAAATGAGCCCTGCCCACATATACAAAAGGGAGGGAGACTCCTTCCCCACCCTATTGGTATTCCAAAACTTTTCTTAAGTTATAATAGAAATATAAACATAAAGAGGTGGAGAACAGATTCCATTCTTTCCCTAGTCTGTAAACTATTATTCAATTTATTAAAAAAGATTGAGATCTTTTTTGGAAAGAACAAATCCAAGATTACAGTAAATAAAAATGATTAAAAATAGCGGATTCCTTTAGTAAAGCACCCACACATTATACGTTCACCGTGTTGCTATTAATGTAAGATTAGAAATGATTCCTCAGAACATATCTGATCGTTGGTTGCTGCTTTGTCTTGTTCGCTTCAAAAATGACACTCATAATGACAATGATATAAAATCTATCCATACAGGCAGAAGTACTCTTTCCTCTTGCAGGTAGCGGAACTCTTGAAAATTGAAGTCAAACTCGTCATCATGTGCAAGCAGAGGTTGCTCCACACCATGACGGAAATGCCTTGTTCTCAGTGCTCGCCCCGCAAGGTGTGAGTGGAGAAGGACAGCAAACACATGGATCCCAGAAGGATTTTCATGAGACAGGGCCTGTTGGATACAGAAAATTATTTAAATTACCCACTGGGTAAAGCACCAGCAACAATAATACACAGAATTGCTTCCCCGAAGTTCAGTGATTCAGGTCTAGTTAGCGCACAGAGCAATGGGAGTCTAATTCAAAATTTTGATAATCTATTCCACAAAGTGGAATTTTACAAAGGAGCATCATTTTTTTTAAAATACAAGCAAAATTACTTCCCAAAATATAGTAGCTTTGAGCGTCTGCCCACAGAGTCACTGTACTTTACAGTATGTCCTGTGAAGTGCTTTGAGATGTCTTCGCAATGTGAAACGTGCTATCCCAAATGTAAGGATTATTATTACTGGGATAATAGCAGCCTCAGCAACCAAGCTTCAGCAACATCTGGTTTATGTTTTATGAAGGATCTCATCTATACAAGAATATATAAAAAATGCCATCCTAGGTGTCATATATGCACTGAATGTAAGAGAGCAAAATCATCATTCTCCTCCTCCTGGCAGCCTCAGCACAGTGGTTGGCTTGAGGATTTCTCCATGCCATGCCCAAAGCTCGTCCTATAATTTAGCGCAGCGATAACAAGATCTTAATTTAATTCAGTAATCCGGAGAAGGAAGGGTATAATACCTAGAGCTAGATTAGAATGACTCAAAACCTAGTGTTTCACAGAATGTGTTAAATGTTTGAATCATAAAATCCCAGAAATTTCTCCCCAATAAATTTTAGGTAAAATAATCCTTGCATTTGATATCACTTTTCGCATCTTCTCAACATCTCAAAGCACTTCACAGAATAGGCTGTAAAGTGAATTGACCATATATTTGTGGGTGAAACGCGGCAGCCAATTGGGCACAGCAGTGCCCCACAAACAGTCGTGGATTGAAAATGACCAATTTATTATTGTTTTGTATGGAGGGATTATTATTTTCAACATTGACTTTGGCCATTCAGCCCATTGTTTTTCTGGCACTGCTACCTTTTTTTAAAAAAAAAAGTCGCCCTTATTATTAATCTCACTTTCCTGCTCTTTCCTCAGGCAGGGAGGACAAAAGAATATTTATCAGTGAGTCAGGCTGACAGGCGGTAGCTAAGATATGTGTGGCAGGAAAGCATCTATAGAAATAAACCTTAAAATCCCAATTGATGGAAGGTTTGAAGCAAATACTCCATATCGTGCTTTAGTTAAACAAGGCAGATACTTCTTTGCATTCTCTAAAATGTGAAGAATGATGAGGTAGGCAATGGAATGCTTCCACTTGTCTGGTGTCCAGTGACACCAGCGAATACAATGTGCTATTGAATGTGGATTGAACACAGAGTTCCTTGTTCGATTTCCCTGCTAATGCATTTCAATCAAAATCGTGGAAGAGTCCCCCTTACTAAATCAGTTATTTTCATTTCCTACTCTCTGTACTTAACAATCTCTATGAGTGAGACTGCACAGTTAGTGGAATAATTGGTTTTTCCTGTGGGCCTCTTATCCTTTGAGAGTGCCAAATTTCATTCCATTTGGGTCCTTCAACCGCTGTCAGATAAAGGAAACATTCATCCCTTCAGTCTGGACTGCAATTGAACTTATGTCCCATAGGTCAAAGGATAGTATTTTACCCAGTGCTTTAATAAATCTCAGTCATATATTTTCAAATGACCAAAGAGAAAAAAATATTATAACATTCTTCCACATAGAATTTTTAAAACTGATTATTATGTAGTACCTCAATTTTGTTTTGCATTTGTGAATATCATAATTGTGTGGTATTTTGTAAATGTAAAGGAAATTAAAATATTATCAGTAACTTTCAGAGATAATTTGGCACTACAACAACAACAACAACAAGATTCTATTTATAAAGCGCCTTTCACGTCAGGAGGACGTACCAATAGTGCAGCTCAGATTCCATCTTTCTGATTTAAATTATTGTAGTCAGCAAAAGGTTAAAATCAAACATGTGCAAAGAGGCAGCAAGACATTCTTATATTCTCTTTCAGGCACTTCAAAACCACAGCTTTGCACAGAAGACACACTTTTACTATTAGCATCACAGATCTCATGCTCCAAAGATTATGATGTTCAAGCAGAATGATAGGCAAAGTGAAGACTCTTTGGACCAGCAGTTACCAAATGATGGACTGAAGTTAGATTCAGATATGCAGTCCCAGACACTAGATCCAAGAACCCAATTTGTCTCCAGATACCAGAACTTAGTGTCCAGACACCAGAGGGTACAGTCTCCAGGCACCAGAACTTACATATTCTGAGATGTCTAGAAGACGAGAAAAGCGCTATATCAAATGCAAGGATTATTATTATAGAACCATAGAAATTTACAGCACAGAAGAAGGCCATTTGTCTGTACTGTATTTTATAAGAGCAATTCTTTCAATCCCATCTACCTGCCCTTTCCCCATACCCGTGTAGTTTACTCCTTTTGGAGTATTTTTCTAGTCGCATTTTGAAAGCTAATATGGATGGACCACAATTATGACCCCCAGATTTGACCATGTTTTAGGCATTATACCAAAATTAAGACAGTTCTTTAGAGGGAAAACAAAGCTTACCTCTTCCAAGCATTCCACAGTGCAATGACCCTGTGAAATATATTTTGGCATGTCGGGTGGTATCATATGGTAAAGACTGACCCACACACCAGTTTCAATAATCCCAGCATCATACTTCCTCAACTTAGGCGTGTAGAAAAGCTTTAGCCCAGAGCTGTCTATCAATCCTATAGAAAAAAACAATGGAACAACATTTCTATGTGTAGAAAAGTATTCAAACAACAAAAGAAATCAGCTAATTGATGAGATGTTACCATTTACTTTATGAGATTCGTCTGTTTGTTTTCAACTTCTATTCCTACTGTTTAAACAAAATACAGTTGAATTCTATCATGTTGTGGGTTTGCTTATAGTTCTATTGGGGTGTAGGTACTGACATTTACTTGTTTTTAAAAAAAATCCAAAATGCGTGCATAAATCGCATTGTAGCATTTCAAAATGCTGGCTGGCTTCTCATGCAGTAAAAAAAATGATCAACTTATAGGCCATTAGGTTGTCAACCACAAGACATCAACAGCAGAAGTTCCTCATTTCTTAGCATTGGAAACCAGCCAGTTTTCTGTGTGTTGCATGAATGAGGAACAGCTGTCAGACAATCATGCCCGATAAAAGGCAGCTGGGAATTTATGGATCCCCACCTACTGTCTTATAATTAGGGTTTACTGTATTGGTGGCTCGGTCTTTAGCTACTACACTCCAAACCTCTGGAAGTCCGCTTACCTCTCCATCATGCCACCTTTCTATCTGTCTTTAAACCCTGTCTAAATAGGACCTCTTTGACCAGCTGTGTGCAAAAGACAAATGCAAAAATACAGTATGCAAAAATGCAAAGTATACATTAAACATTTCAAAAGTGACGTGCTGAATTAGACAGATAGTTTACTGTGGGACATTGCTATTTTCTTGAAGTTAATGTAATCAGTGAGAAATATTAGAGATGTGGATCAGTGGGAAATAAATGTTGGATTTAGGATTCATGAGATTTTGGATTTATCAAGTGCATATGGACTCTAGGGTTGAAATTCCATCTAGTTCATTATATGTACAAACTTCTGAAGGGTTTTGACCAGGTAAATAGGGAGAAGTTGTTTCCATTGAGAGGGGAGTCAGTGACAAGGGGACATGGTAGCCACAAGATAAGCGGAAGGAAACTTGGGAGGAATTTGTTCACCCAGAGAGTTGTCAGGATGTGAGACGCCATGCCGAGTAGTGTGGTCCCTTGTAGCTTTCAAGATGGAAATAGATAGGTATATGGAAGAAAGCTGCTTGATGGGTTTTGGGAATGATGCAGGGCAGTGGGATTAAATCGATCACCTTGATCTGTAAGCTGAGACAAATGGCCTCCTTTGGCGCTGTAGATTTGATGTTCCTAGGCTATAAAAACATTTTGTCTTATTATTAATAATAATAATTTTTGCATTTGATGTAGCACCTTTCATGTCGGGATGACATCTTAAAGCCCTTCACAGGATTTACTATAATGCATGGTAAGTATGTATTTGTAGGCGAATGCGACAGCCCATTTGTGCATAGAAATGTCCATCAAGCAACCATGAAATAGACAATTTTATATAGACTGTTGGCCAGGACACCAGGAGAAAATTTAAGGTAGTGCAGAAGGCGTAAAATGTTCTTAAATTTAGCCTTAATTTAAAAGCTAGTTTGCTGTAGTTCTCAGAAAGAAACAAACCACCTTCCAAATTAAGACAGAAGTTAAAAATTTCCACAATTCTATACCATCTAAAATTATGTCACAGGCTAAGGCCAGGTGAAATTTCCGACTTCTAAAGTTGAAAATGTGCTTGCAGGAATGATACCTAGACAACTCAGGAAATAAAGTGTCTCTCTTGCAGAAGTTACACTGACCCACAGGGATCCAATCTTAGGTCTATTCAGGTGGACATTAAAGTTTCAATGACATTATTCAAATAGAGGAGGGAGTTTCATCTGATGTCCTAACTAACAATCCTCCAAATCAATTAATTATTCACGTCAGGCTGATAGTGGGACATTGCTGTGTGCAAATAGGCTAACATGTTACCTACAAATACACAGTCACTACACTTTATAATAAAATAATGTGAAGCACTTTGCGACACTCTCAATGTTACAGGTTGTCATATTGAATGCAAGGGTTATTATCATAGGAAGGAGCAGAAAGTAAGTAGTATTACTGCAATTTTGACATCATGGCTTCATTGACAAATATTCTTGCTTCACTCTATTTTATCATTGTCTTTCTGAATGGTATATCAATGGACTGCAAGAAAAGTAACCTTCTAGATTGTTCCCACAAACAAATGTACTGCAAATATACTCTATATACTTTTGTTAAAGGCACTGAAAAGCTACAGATATATTCACATGGTGTTCTTTCCTGTGTATGCAAAGGGATTCACATCCTCTCAGTGGTGAAACGTACATCATGCTGAATAGTTATCCTTCTTATTCGAACAATCAGTTCTTTGTGCTGTAATAAGCTTTATGGATTTCCCAGGGATTAGGGATTTGATTGTAATCTATGATGTTGTCTTAAATAATTTAAGTTAGCATATCTCATTATGTTTCAAAGCAGTACGTCAATTTAAGAAATCTGAGCATTGATCAGAATCATGCCCCAGGATGACTACAATAAACGTTGTCATAGCAAATAATTATTTCAAGATGTTTTGCCAAAAGAATTACTTGATATTGCATCCGAGTGTTATATTTATGTGAATGACAATACTATGAAACCCACACATGTTCCCCAGATGTAAGGACACGGAACAAGAAAGGGCATTCAGCCAATCGAGCCCACTCCATATAATGCCCAACCAAAACTTATTCTGGTAAGGAATATATGACAATACAATTAAGTTGATGTTTATAAAGTGCATTTTACAACAGGAGGAGATCTCAAAGTGATAAAAATGCTTATAGTTTTTGAATAGTTCTTGCTTACAGAGAAAAATCAGTTGCTGTGTTCACCTATAAATATGGTCATATATCTATGAAGCGCTTTGGTGATGCCTTCCTGACATGAAAATTTTTATCAAATGTAAGGATAATTAGGATTATTTTAAAAGCATGTCAAGTTTGAGCAATGGTGACGTGGGCTAGAGGAATAATCTGCAGGAGTCTTTGTTTAATTATCTTTAGGGTTCAGGACCATCTACAAAAAACATTCCAGGAAACAGTGGGTGGAGTCAGTGTTCATGCTAAGGTAGGCGTTTAGAGGAATTACTCATGCCTCGCTCCCTCTGTCCCAGTATCGGTTGCCTTTAGCACTATATGCCCACTCTTTGGAACTCTCTCCCAAAACACCTCATCAATTCTTTCTCCGCCTTGAAAAGTCTTCTAAAACACCCTCAAACTCCCCTTCCTTCCATCCTGTTTGACGATTCTGATAATTGCTTACAGACTTTAATCCTCTGTGGAAAAAGGTATGAGTTGTTTTTTTAAATGATTTTTCTGTTAGATTGAATGATTGAATGGCCCAAACTGAGGCAGCAATTTGCACCTAAACTTACAATACCAACGGAGTCTCGGGCAGTGAAAGCCCTGCTGACACCACCTGCAAAAGATGGTTTGGTGGTTGATGAGAATCACATCTGTGCAATATGAAGGCAGCAGAATCAAATCTGACTGGACTCACTGCCCCAGGATTTACCCCAAACTGCAAGGCAGGCCTTTGAATGATTTGGGAATTATAAATGGAGGGAGTATTTTCAATGTTATTAAAGTTGTTCAGAACACCAATATTAGGTGTTTGTATTTGTTCTTCCTTGATGTGGAGCATAAAGTATAATGTACATTGATATGCTGACAGGAATAAAGTAACAGAACCCTCTAGCACTGTGTTGCTGCTAAGCCTGTGAGCTCCCGCTAAGATGTGGCAAATCGATGGCTGATTTAGAAATTGGTGTATAATAAATAGACTGCAAAGTTCTAGCTATTTTGGAACAAATTTATGTTTCATATAGGATAAAAAGTTTACATAGCAAAAAGCAAAAATATAGCAATATGATCATATCTGACATATCTGATCTTTTTAGTATTGTAATCTATATCATTGATTCCACATAGCAGTAAATCCTACCTTCTTGATATGTTGGATTATCGTAATGTATTTCCATCATCACGTAAACTGGATCTGTTGCAGTACCAATTGAAAGCCCAGCATTGGAGGGATAGGAAAATCCCTGCATCGAGTTACAAAGAGAAATCAGCAGAATATTCAGTTAACAAATCTAAGCAAAATTGGCCGTGAGATTGCATGCAATCTTCTTTTACAAAAGAACAATTAGTTTTCCAAACAAAAAAGTTCAGAGAACCAGCTTCTAAATTACAACCGAGTTTAAGAATGTTTCAAAATTCTGCTCTTAATTTTTTAGCCCATTTCAGGCTTGAGACAATGTTTATTTATTTTAAGATGATGATACTTGCATTTAGATATACACAACATACATCTGTACCTTTCCTCCAATTGCCCATGCAAAAATGACACTTTCACATATATCAAATTCATCTGGCATATTGGGATGGTAGCATTCGTGACTGATGCCAACGGCGCTGTCGTTCAGGCTGCTGTGGCACTGATACAGCAGAATGTGGTGGACCAAGGGTTCATGTCCTTTCTGAATAATGGGCTCAACCTGAAGAAAGAAATTATAATACAGTACGCAAAAGCCAGTCAATAATCTGGTAACGCAATGCAAAAAACAACCTGCCCTTCAACCACTGAGGTGATCCGGTATTTTGCATTTACTTATTATTAACGGCAACAACAACAACTTGCATTTATACATCGCCCATCACGTGGGGCAGTGTCCCAGAGCACTTGACAGTGGTGGAATGTGACCCCGAACAATTTTATTATTAATAATAAAAATAATCACTGGATTTGATACAGCATATTTTATGTTGTGAGGGTTTCCGACAGTGCTTCACAGGATTGTAAGCAAACGTTTTATGCCACAAGATTTGGAAATGTATGCTTTGTTACTACCAGACCTTCTAGATTCATTTATACCATATAACATAATTTGCGTTTATATAGCGCTATCAAAGAAATAAGCCTTGAGGTGGACTTTGATGGAGGAAGCGAGTCGGAGGGACACCGGGATGGAGCTCCACAGAGTAGGAGACGAATGTCTAAAAGCTTGACATATGAAAGATATAAGTAAGAAATATATTAGCATTGTCATGTTTGAAGGCACATGTGAAATCTTATTTCCATGGATTTCCTTATGTATTAATATTGTTACAGAGCAGAGAAATCATCTATGTTTTTCATTAGTGTCAAAACCTCATTCAAACACGTCAATACTAAAGTTGTTTAATGAAATGCTTTTACAAAAGGTGATTCACTGAGTGAATCAATTTAAGCTACTCAAACCAAGATCAATCAATAGTTTGTGCTCCATTAGCCAACATGTGACTGAATATTTATGAAAAGATAGACTGTGCTTCTTGCTAAAACATTATTCTGAATGATTGCAATTGAATATGTTTTGTTTAATGTAATAGTTCTTTTCCCAATGATTTTCATATTGACTGCACCAGCCATATAATCTGTGAATCCCTGAATAAACAAACAAATATTAAACACAAAGAATGCTTTGTTATAGAACATTTAATCTGAATGCAGAAAAATGGTTTCAGTTGAGTTGTTCAGAGAGCTCTTGACTGCGGGAGTGAATGGGAAATGTCAAGGGTGAAGGAAAGGGTGAAAAGACAGCCACAGCTGTTCCAATTTTTCCATATGCACCATAGCAATAAGATTAAATGTTTTCTATATGAGTTTTGTTTTACCTTATACTATGATTTATGAAGATTTAATTTCTCATTCTGGGCTTTGCTAAGAACACTGAGCAAGACCAGCAGCTACCAGCAATATAAACATCAACATTTGAAAGTACAAATCTGGAAGTTTAATATCCCCTTAAAGTCATTTAAATACAGTATAACATTTTTAAAAATATATCAGGAGTAAATTTTACTATTGAAGAATTGCAGAGATAAGAATTTGAGTGATCCTGTAGTGATATTTTGCAGACAAAATACATTTCGATTGGATTTATAGATGATATTACCGTTAATAGACACCAAATTATATACATAATGGTGTTTACAATGACTGTTTTTGGCTACACAACCAATCAATATACTTTGCAACAAATTCATGCAAAGCGCTTTGAAAGATATTCCAATGAAATCCAATACAGTTCTTTCTCTCACTCTCTTTCTTTCTCGCTCTCTTTCTTTCTCTCTCTTTCTCACAATCTCTCTCTGCCTTCCTCTCTCATTTCAAATTTGCCTGCGCAGTTGTGTCTTAAAAATCAATTTGACGTGGATTGATGTAATCATAATTGAAAATTGAATTAACAGCTACTTGTTGCTTTGCCCAATACCATACCATCTGTAGGGACAAACATAATTTATATAGCTCATCAAAGTAATGAAGAATCTTACTTCTAAATTCTCCAGATGGCATAAACAGGAGTCCAATGTACACTTTGTTTCTTTGCTGATATGCCCCCAAAATGACTATAACAGACACTAGTAATAAGCACGTTTCATATTCAATATTAGCTTGGAGCTGAAAAAGCTCAAGGCAGCTATCTCAGATTAATGTTACATTCTACAAACCAACAGAGTCCTCCCTCCCACTGCCCATAAACAGCTTATTTTGTTTCTTGGTTCTTAGAATTCTCTAATATCTAGTATGGCCGCTGAATGAATATTAACAAATAAAAACACTTTCTATATGAAAGAGGAAGATATTTATGTAAAATATTTGTAGTGTGAAGCGCAAAACCCTACATTGTGACAGGGAATGTATGCACCAATATTATGTACAAAAGAAATCCTGAGAAAGATTTATAAGTTAGTTGTGTGAAATGTTTTAAGATGCCCTCCCCACCTGAAAGGTTCTATAAACAGTAAATTGTGGCTGTTGTTATCTTACAAACTTGCCCGCTCCTTTTGCTCAGCAGGGACTTGCCTGCTTCCCCCGCCCTCCTCATCCCACCATCGGCAGTCAGTCTTTCAACCTATCTGGTCCCACTCTCTGGAACCCATCCCGAAATTCCTATGACTTTTCCCTTGCCTTCTTCAAAATTTGTATCAAGATCTCGCTCCCCCCTCACCCCCCTCACTTCCATCCACATGCTCCAGCATCTTGGAACGTGTTCCCAATGTGAAAGGGGCTAATTAGTTATTGTTGTTAATAGTCTCTATCTCACACTGGAGGCCGCTGAGACCCTCGTATATGCATTCATAGCATCCAGGCTCTTCTATCCAAACGCCCTGCTCGTTGGTCTCCCCAACTCCTTCCTCCATAGGCTGCAGATCATCTAGAACTCTTAGTCCATGTCCTCTCCCGCACCAGGGTCCGTGACCCTATCGCCCCATCCTCGCCCATTCTTGTTGTTGTTGTTAACAGTGAAGAAAGGGCAAGAAGTGAACACTACCACTATTTTAATTGCAGATAAATAAATACTAACTACATTCTTGTATTTAATATACTGTATACTTTTAATGCTGAAACGTCTCAAAGCAATTTACAGGGAATGTAGGGACTGTATATTTCAAGGCAAATTTGTCAGTCATTTTGCACACAGCAGTCTCACAAACAGCCATAAAATCCCAAACTAATTTATGCAAGGATAATTCGCTAGAAACTCCTTTCTCTTTCAAATAGTGCTGTTGGATCTTTGACATCAATCTGAATTGGCAGATGAAGTCCAATGCCTCATTGAAAGGACAGAAACTCAGTCAATGCAGCATAATGTATTCTATTTTTTTTAAGACCTTTGAGATGTTTTTGTGTGAAAAGTGTTATATAAATGCAAGTTATTTTTGTTGCTGAGGACATGTTTCTAATCACACTTTTTGGACTGTCAATGATAATTAAGGAATACATTGGGTTGAGGAATATTGCAATTTTGATCCCTTCAGTATTGAATAATAATTTTCACAGAGTATTTCTACCTTTACAGGTTATATGCAGAGTGAATGTGGCATACAACAACAACAACGTGGATTTATATAGAGTCCTTCATGCCAGATGGCAACTCGGAATGCCTGCATAGACAAATATCAGCAGGGAACATTCAACCCATTAGGGTGACAGAATGTACATCTGTATTTTCTGGTCAAGAGATAAACTGGTTAAGATATTGTGTTTTTTTTTCAAATGCCCGCTGAGAGCTAGTTATGAAGGTATGTAAATTAATGTAGAAAACACTGCAGAAATATAACATGACACTGACATAGCACAGAAGTAAATTATAATCAAGGACAGGTATGAGGATTGGCAACTCAGCAGAGGGAAAGTTGGGGTACAATGTTTTTTCTGGCATAGGAATTTTTCCTGCCCCGCTGAGGCTGTTCTGGAAGCCACTATCAAATGATACCAGTTTCAGTGAATTATTATCTTCTTCACCTACTAACACTGACTGATATGGACCATTATACTGATTCCAATTAATTCCAATAAGAAGGACACTTGTGGGTTTCCACTGAACATATGGACAAGAGGCTAAAAGGGACTGCATCTCCAGTAAGGATTTCACACCAAAGGCCAATTGGATAGGGTGCTCCTGAATTGACAAGCAGTGTTAGCTTGCTAGACCAGAGCTTTTAATGTCAAGCTATATAGTTTTAGCTGGTTAGACTCCAGTACTACCCTAACTTAGACTCTGGGATCCCCAAGCCTTGGCTCTTGCCAATCTGCGTCTAATACTCTCTAGATGTGGATAAGCAGGATGTGTCGCTTCAGGGAGAGATTGCACTTTCTATTCCAGACATGGACATTTTTGTCTGGTTTAGAAACTCTTAAGCATGATGAGGTATCTGTATGTGTCGACACCTGGGAGACCCCCCAAAAATAATAAGGGCTTCAAAATTTTTAATCTATTCTCCATAAGAGATGGTGTAGACTCCATTTAAAATCTGTGACTCAAACTGGATTTGCAGATATTGTTGAAATCTTTGGTCATGATTAACAAGATATATCTAAGTTTAGATCCATAATATGAGAGGACTAAGTTATATCTTTATACAATAACAGGTTACAAATGAAAATGCCTATATACTTTTAAAAACCTGTAGACATTTATCTGATAGTCTTAATGGATGAATGAACTTTTCTTATTCCTTTTTTTTATTTAACCAGACAGGTTTGAAAAGCGAGTTGCTATCCCCAGTGACATTTTCAAAGTGGTTCAATTCTGAAACATCTAAACCCCGAAGCATTTAGCTGCCTCCCGATACCTTGTGCACTTTCAACAATTTCTGTTTCATTATGGATTTAGACTTAACTTCTAATGTGAAAACTAAATATCTTATGGTTTTGACAGGCACTGAATTATTTTTGTGATTTTATGACTTTTTGATCATTTTTCATTTGAGATTCTCTATTTCCTCCAATGATCATCAAAAATGGGATACAACTAGTCAGATGCACCAAGAGTATTGTATACAGTCCTGATCACTTAAGGGAACTTAAGGAAACTGGCTAGGCCTTAGAGGTAGTTAAGGGGGCAGCAAAAAGGATGATCCCCAGTGTTAGATGAATGGGTTATGAGCAGGGCCAATACAACATTTGCCAAAACTAGGTGGCCCAATTGGGAGGGGGAACACCAGTGCAGGCCCGAAGGGCTTGGAGATCCGCCAAAAAAAACTCAGGACCAGTGTCCTGGCTGTCGGAGCTACAATTTTTCAATTCTTTGAAATTCTTTCAGAAAATAATAATGATAAATTGGTCACTCAATCCAGGACTGTTTGTTGGACACTGCTGTGCACTATTAGCTGCCACGTTTTGCCCACAAAATATACAGTCACTACACTTTACAGTATATTCTGTGAAGCGCTTTGAGACGTTTCAAAGACGTGATAAGGTGCTATATCAAATACAAGGATTATTATTATTATTATTACAGGAGCTTACCATCTCTTGCGTCTCAGGGCCCAGCACCACACACAGACCCAGAGACCCAGAGAGAGATGCACACACACAGACACAAAGTGAGACAGAGGAGAGAGAAACACACATGCACATTCACATAGAGACACTCATGACCACACACACATATAGAAGAGACACACATACATACAGAGGGGTAAGAGAAAAACACATAGATACACTCACACAAGCACTCACAAACACATACAGAGAAGAGACACACACTCACATAGAGACATTCACAAGCATAGAGAGAGAGAGAGACACACACAGACAATCTCAACAGCGGGGCCTCCAAGTGGAGTGAAGCCCATTTCCTGCTCGTGTCCAACCACACATGTGTATCTGGAGCTGCTCCACCCACAGTAACGTTGGATAAACAGCTCGGAGAGGCCAGGGCCAGAAACTTTATTTATTAGCGGTTTCATTATGGAAAGCGCTGTTTATAGTGACCGCACCTTTCTATTGGCCCAGGTTATGAGCAGCGATTAATAATAATCCTTGCGTTGAGTATAGTGACTTTCACGTTGGTAGGACATCTCAAAGGTTTACTGTGAAGTGGAGAGACTGTATTTGTAGATGAACAATTACCACAAGCTAAGGCTCTTCTGTCTTGAGAGAAAACATCTCAGTAAGGATTTTATAGAGGTGTATAACATTTTAAATGGGACTGAAAAAGTAAAACCAAAGCGATAGTTTAGAATGCATCAAGACAGTAGAACAAGAGGATATAGGTTTACAGTTGTAAAGGACAACTTCAACACCAGGAAATTGTTCATTACCCAGAGCGTAATTAACAATTGGAACAACTTGCCAAGTAGAGTGATTGAGGTCTGGACACTAAACTCTTCTTTTAAAAAAAAACAGCTATGATGGGGGGATGGGTTCCTGAAAGGATGAGATCAAATGGGCCAAAAGGCCTTCTTCATTTGAACCAATTTTGTAATCTTGTGAACAGTATTTTTTTCACATGGTATCAAATGTAAATAATGGCATGGTTAAAGGGATACCTAGAAGTTAAAAAACTGTAAGAGGTAAAAGGATATATCTCAGATTTGATAGATATACTTAATATCATGCTCCAAGGATATGTACTAGGGTCTCTGTTGTTTTCCATCACATTAATGATTTTCAAACTGACATATGGTGAACATTTGCTGATGATATCAAATGAAGGGATATGACAAACTAAGAGTGAGCAGATGCTGTTTAATATTGAGAAAATGTAAAACCATGCATTTTTCTGAAAAACTATTGAAAAAAAGTACACCCCAAATGGCATAATTCTTTATGTCCAAGCGTGAAGATATACAAATCTTTAAAGGTGGAGTGCAATTAGAAAACATCATAAAGATAGCAAATGTGATTTGGGGTTTAATCACCAGAATGAGAATGGGGGTGGGAATTCAAAAGCAAGAAAGCAACCTTCAATTTATGTGAGATATTGGTCAGGTTACAGTTGGTATTTTCAGTGCCCCATTATTCTGAATGATTCTGTGGGAATCAGTAAGAGAAATATTTTTGCCACTGATTGGTAAATTATAAACAAGGGGGCATAAACTCAAGATTATCACTAGAAGAGTTAAGGTGTAGGTTGAAAAGAACATTTTCATGCTGAAAGTTATTGGAACATGAAATGCTTTGCTACAAGTAGAAGTTGGGGCTGAGACCATGACAATGATTAAAATGAGCATTTGGTCTTCTCCTGTGCTGTAATTTCTCAATTAAGCATGAGAGTATCCACAAAATGACATTGATTGTTTGGTTGCATTTGAATTTTAAAATGACTTTTTCATACACAGGTCCTTTTTTTTCCCAAATTAAATAAGTGGAGATAAACACTGAAATAAATCATCTCTCAGATTTGGAAGAAATAATCATTTATTCCACACTCCCAGAGAAGAGAAACACAAACTCGTCTGTGCCAGTGTTTTTCTTCACATGAGTCTCTACCTTTTCTAATACCCTCTACCATACCCTTCTATTCCCTCTCCCTCATTACACATCACGTTTCCTCTTCATGGGCTGATGCTTTTTGCTTCAACCACAGCTTCCAGCAGTCCGATGACAGCAATCATCATCATCATTTCATTTTGATTCAGTACAGTGACATTTCCCCTGCATAATAATCCAATCAAAAACTGAGAAATCATTCATCAGAATCTACAGGCAGAGATTTTGAATGGTTATTCATTTCTGAAGGATTCATTTCTTAGAAAATTATATCCTGGAATGTGCTGCAACATTCCTAAAAAGTGACGAGCTATTAAGACAACCGCAATATATTATGACTTGGTCAAACGCTGAATATGTTACATTTTGTAGTGGGGAAAGATGACAGTGTAAAAGTCATTACGACTTTTCATCAATTATGTAAGAGGTACCCTCTTACAAACGTCTAGATACTACAAGCTTTGTCTTTGCAATATTCTGCCTAAAGACCGCATGGACTGGAGTTCCTTTGTCTCCTGCTAGATTGCAGGAAAAGTTCAATTTTGAAATGTTCCAGGGTCAAATTATTCGGTTGTCACGAGCAACAAGATATGCAAAGTTTTAATCTACGCTTGTTTAGTCATATAAAATTTACCAATTGCACCTATTTGTAAAGTGTTCTCAATTGCCAGCGCACAGTAAATTTGGTTCATAAAGATAATTTCTTTAGAAAATCACATTCACTTGTTTTTCCTTTACTGATGCTTTGCAATATGGGTCACTGCCACACACAGAATTTTAATTGACACATGATATTTTATGAACAATTTAGATGAAAGGCCATGTATGAACATACTGAGTACCATATACAATATAGCACAATACAGGTTTCTAATTATAATATTTTTCACGTTGGGAAGCATCTCAAAGCACTTAACAGACCTTTCTGGTCACCCAAGCATATTTAGCACATCGGACTCATTTAAAAAGCCTTTTCATGCTGTGCTGGGAGGGCAGTAAGCTGGGTATTCTGGAAGGATGAGCTAAAATGGGCTGAAGGTCTTCTTCATCCAAACCAATCCTGTGATTGTTTTTGCAACATTATGGTAAATTCTTCAGTTCTATCTTAAATTGGAAGCCAGTTTTCCGCAATTCTTAAAAAGAACCAGTTCCCAAATTAAGACTGAATTTGCGAATTGTCCACAGTACTGTGTGATCAAACATTTTAAGAGAAATGTAGGCTACGATTAGGTAGAATTTTTGGGCTCAAATGAATTTTCCTAATGTTGGAGATGAGCAACTCTTGAAATCCGCATTGCAAAGTTCAAGCGGAAAGCTGAAATGGATCTGGAGCACAACGTATCTGTTGAGAATACATTGGGGTGAAAATTGGATGTTTTATAACAGATTGATTAAATCATTTCACCTCAAAACTATTATAAAATCTCATATTTTTTATCCTAATAACACATAACAGAAATTAAGCCAAAAATTTCATCTTGATTGTCATTCAAAATGAGAGTATCCTTTTAAGCAGCACATTATATACATTATATATATTTTGCCCACAAAACATACAATGTTCATTTTACAGTATATTGTGTGAAGCACTTTGAGATGTGTCGAAGACTTGATAAGGCGCTATATCAAATGCAAGGATTATTATTATTAAAACTGTCACAATGAAAATCTCTTGCACATTTTCTACAATTTATTTCAAACCAAAGAGATCATGCAATTGCTAATTAATTAACACATAGTTGACGTCCTCCAAATTTAATTATTCTGGAGTCCACAATTCAAGTGTGAGGCTACTATACTTTTATAAACTGAAAGGGATAAGTGTTCATTCAAGAATGTTATTGTCAGTATATGTAATGGAGATAGTACAGTTCAACCCAGAAGTTTATTGACAACTTACATTTGGAGTTATATACTCATATATGATTCTTGGATTTTTTGCTGTAATTTGGTTACTTATACCATAGATCAGGGTGGTACGACAACCTACCTCCAACAACAATTTTTCAACTTAATGTGCATAGCTCTTTCTAGGCACAGTAAGCAGTAAGAATCTTTTCATGAGTTAAAAAATATAGACATTGTTCTACATTGCTACTAATTACTATTATTTCTCTGAACACATATTTTCACATACAAAGAGTGAAATAGTAAGAATCCAGATTTCAATGAATTAGCTCACAACATTTTAATTTGTAAATAGAAAATCCTAAAATAGTATCTTTTTCTTGGATAGCACTATGAATACAACATGCATCAACTGTTTACATTTCCAGTTAGGTTTACTAAAGTTAACCGGAAGTGTAAAAAGCTAGAATATTTCTATAATATTCTCTCCAAAGCCAAAACAAGAGAACACACCAGTACCATATAAGCTCCACATTGTATCCTTCAAACCTAGTCTTGCTCAAAAAAATAAATAGAGCTGGCATTTACCCTCGCAACTCCCCAAGCAAATTATGGTTTGCAGAATAAACAACAGCTGTTAACAAAATCAAGAATTCAAAATAAATGAAAATAATTTTCTAGAATCCGTTCCACAGAGTCTGTGGGTTTTCAAGCATTCTGTACACTGAGTTTATAGCAAGAATCAAAACTCCTCTTCAGCTTCTGTAGATTGTTAATTGCTGACATTGAAATTGAATCAATGCTTAAATCAACAGTGAGCTCTTACCTTTATCACATGATGCTTTTTGTTCAGTTCTGGAAGCTTAAAGATTTGGCACCAGTAGGTGGTGTCTTTTTCAGGTACTGATATCTGTCTTGAACAAAACAAATCCAATAATTAAGGAGCAGAACGAAAACAATGTATGTGTCATACTAACTGAGTCAGCTGTCAGCCTGGCTTAGTTAGAAGTACTCTCATCTCTAAGTCAAGGTTGTGGGTTCAAGACCCACATACAGGCTTTTAGCTAATAGTCTAAGATGATCTTCTAATGCGATGCTTGGGGAGTGTGTTATTGGTGGTGCCATCCTTTGGATGAAATGTTAAACCGAGGTCCCATCTGCCTGTTGAAGTGAATGTTAAGGATCCCACAGCACTATTTGAAATGTACAGCAGTTCTCTTTTCAAATAGTGTATTGGGGTTCATATCATTCACCTGAAGAGAAGATCCAACAACGCAGGACTCAGTCACTGCTACATTAGTAGCTCAACCTACACTATTAACTCAATTTCCAATGTGGAGGGTAGGGTGGGGGGTGGGGGGGGATGCGTGGATTGAACCAACAATCCCAAAGGTGAAACTGTTACCAACTGAGCTAAGATAGAGGGGAAGAATCAGAACATAGAACTGGTGAGAGAGGGAAATCTTATTTGTACTTACGTTATAATGTCTTATATCAAATGCCAACAAGTCACTTGGAATAACCCTGTCCATGTCAGGATCCAATAAATGTAGACTTTTTCTCCCGCGGTTTAGTGAATGATATTTTGGACCATCTCGACCAACATCTTCAGGATGGTAGGCCCAAATCACCCTTACGGTGTTATCCTGAACACAAGCAATGAAGAAAGATGTGCATTAGATTATCAAACATTGAGATGTAGAAGTGAGTATTCAGTGATTGTTTCCCCCATTTACAATTTGCTCAGTGAAATGTTCAGTCATAATACAAGCTTGTAAGAAAAGCAATAACAAAGCAAGAGGTAATCCTATTCATTTTGCACAATCACATATCACTCAGTATGATTATGCAACACAAGGAACACATTCAGAAACTGATTCCGGAAATCAGGGGCGTATGATCACCCTAACCTACGTGGATGATACTGATAAAGCTGGCAGCTGTACACCCAGCTTCCGTTTGGCAAAAACTATTGTCTTCCAAGTCACTGGTGTCACTTCCTGTGTGTTCATGCATGCAGGAAATGACATTAGCAGTGATCTGGCGAGCTGGAAGTGGAAATGATGGATATTTTGTTTTGCAGACCTGTTATAATGTGGTGTGATTTTTGTAGCACTTTATAATGGGCTTCTCTTGTAGAAGACAAACTGAGTAAACTTTATTGGAATATCTGAAAGATTATTGATGAATAAAGGCTCACACCAGGGTAATTGCCATGTTTCTATACTGCGTGGTAAAATATGTTAACATCATTACTGATTCAATAGCATTGCATCAACATCTCTTTAGTATTACTTAATTTGAGATTATCATGAAAAATGTACAGAAATAATCAAGCAAATATCAAATGCACAAAATATAAGAAACTTTAAATCTTCAAATCATAAAAATGAGGGCATGAAGTGGGCAAACTTGTATGTGAGCATGAGGCTCTCAAAATCAATCTGTTCTGCAATGGAGAGCCAGTGGAGCCTGGCAAAAAACTAGGATGATGGAGGTGAGGAGTTTAGATGTATGAAAATAACCAAAAGTTAATTTTTTTTTTGACTGTTCCCTCCGCTACAAACTAGAATCCATTGGGTGAGTTCTGTTCCACCTGCATATTTTAAAACAACTCAGTGAGGAGTTGAAACCAAATTCAACTTTAGTCTCATCGTTTCTGGCATAGTAAAATGTAAAGTTCAGAAATAGTTCCTCCAAACAACTGACACCACTTTAATGCTGATTGTTTCCTATCATAGTAGCTGTTATAGTTGGTAAAATGAGGTGTCAGCCTGGCTCAGCTGGTAGCATTCTTGCCAGAAGTCAGAAGGTTGTGGGTTCAAGTCCGATACTGGGGCTTTGAAACTCACATTGTTGACACTACTGTGCAGTAAGGATGTACTGCATTGTTGGAGGTGCCGCCCTTCAGATGAGACATTGAACTTAAATCAAATCTGCCTGTTCAGGTTGAAGTTAAAGATCCCACGACACCACTCAAAACAGAAGGGAATTTCTCACAGTGTCCTGGCCAATAATCCCCCAGATAAAATTGATCATTCACTTCATGCCTGTTGTGGTACACTTTTGTGCATAAATTGGCTACCATGTTCACCGACAAAATACATAGTTACTACACATCACATTAATTCCTGTGAAGTGCTTTAAAATGTCCTCCTGAAATGAAAGGATTATGTTGAATGCAAAGATTATTGTTGTTATAAAATTTTCACAATCAGATAGCTAGGCGCTGAAAGACGTGAATCATAATATCAAATTATTATTTAATTTAGATAGAATAAATGCAGGTCATGATTTTTACATTTTCTAACACAAGAAATAAGTAATGCATTTCAGGTCTGTGGACTCTTGTGGCTAAGCCAGTATCATTAAATGTCTTGGGACGTCCTCCTGACGTGAATGTTTATATAAGTGTAATTTCTATTGTATTGTATCTTCCACCCCTGAGTCTAAAAGAAAGGAGTGGATATAAGGTAATATAATATCAATGACTAACTTATTTGACACAGTAAGACCACAAAGTCATGTACAGCAGAAAGGTAAGATGAAAATGCATACCGTTATTATTTTATCATTATTGTCACAGGTCTTCAAATTTCGAGAGAAAGCCAGGATTGTATGTGTATTATTTTCCATACCATACTCCAACTGATAATCCTGCTGGTCATCTTCCCTCACTTTTCCATCTATGTTCAACGTGTTATAATCCTGCCAAGATATTCACACAAGGGAGGATTGGTTAAAGAAGATCCTTTGGCCCATTTTATCTTATGAATTAATATGGCAATAATGCAGTCTAGTTACATTTCCTCAAGACTGGTGCCATTTCTCACATATATTTAAATTAGTCCATTATTTGTCTCCTCATTTGATACTAGGCAAAAAGAATAAAAGAACATATTCATCCCATTTATCCAATTATAGTTTTGAAAATGTTGAAAGTGTGTCCAATCTTGTGACTGTTCCGAGATACTGTGAACTGAGAGATAAACTCATATAATAGTAAAAAAAACATAGTTGACAATGGTACTCTTGAATTATAAAGGCATATTTGTTTCTATATTTTGAGTGATTTACCTGAAAGGATTGCGAAATAGATTAGTTTTCATTTGGCAACTCTTATTCTGATCAAAAGCCAACAAGGCTCCTTATCACTGAACGCTACATTCATGACTAAAACAGTTACTGTGCTCACAATTCAGTAAACCCTGGGTCACCCATGTAACAAAGTCAGGCATTAACAGTTTCATTGTAAGTGATGTAGTAGTCTATGACTGCAAGTTGTGTTGCATACATTCATCCCCATGTGCAAACCCACCTACTTTGCGACCTCCTGTAACCCGACTGCCCTGGCTGTTCCCTCCATTCAGCAAACACTGACTTGCTTCATGCCCCCCACCCACTCCATCCCACTATCATTGAGAAAGCTTTTCATCCGTTCCTCCTTTAGACTCATCATTTCTGGCATATTGAAATGTAAAGTTCAGAAATAGTTTCTCCAAACTATTGGAGGTTCCTCTTCCAACTTCATCCTGAAGTCCCTCCACCTTAGCCTCTCCGACACCAAAACCCACCTTAAGACCCATTATTGTGACCATGCTTTTGGCCATCATATCCCTCCCCTCCTTATCTCCCAAACCCATCTCTTCCTCCCTCACCCCAACACCAGCTTCTATTCCCATTCACTTTGAGATGTCCTCCTGATATGAAAGGTGCTATTTAAATCTAAATTGTGATTGTTGTAATCATTCAATGACGGTACATGATAAATCTTTATAATAATTAACTGATTAATGGTTATTAGGCTATCATTTACTTCAGCCGCTTTAATTCCAAATAATATACCAGACATGAATGCAGGTGAAAGAACTGGAGTCAACTAAAACAATCAGTAATATTACTTTCAGGCCATCACTGACTCATATACTAAATTCCTTGCATGTTATCACATGATACAAAATCCTTGGGTTCCATGTATGGCAATTAGAACATATTACAGTATTTGTACTTTCACACCACATCTGAAAGCTCTTCAAAAATATGTTACAATATCACAGTGACTGTCTCTAAAGATTTTATTCATAGCAAAAGAATTGATTCAATAAAAAAGGAAGACTTTCTTGGTTTGGCATGAGCTGCTGAAATTCTGACATAGATCCTTTAAGGGCATGGATTCGCTCTTTAATTTTAAGCAGTAATTATCCTTCATGTTAAAGCCAAACTAGTGTTTAACTACTGGCCTGTGGTCACTAGACATTTGCTTTGTATCAACATGTGCAGACTTTTCTCTCTGTGAATCATTCATGGTGGAATGTCTTTAATATATGTCTTTTGATTAAACACCAATCTTTGGAGCTTGACTGTTTTGCACTATTATCATGATCATATAAATGAAAGTTGCTCAGTATTAATTTCTCCTTGACTACTCTCCAACTTGGACAAACAAATCCAATACAATGCCATTAACCTTGCTGTATTAAGTACTGCAAATCTAAATTATAATATTTACGTGCATGAAATAATAGTGCAATAACTAACAAACAGTGAGGTTTTTCAACAAACGAACTTCAATCTAGTTTAGATTCTGGTTGTAATTTACTGCACAGAAAGGAAATAGAGTACTACTTTATTGCACAGAAATTTCACCCACAAAATACACAGTCAATCCTCTTTACAATGTATCCTGTGAAGCACTTTGAGACATCTCAACGATGTGATAAAGCACTATATAAAATGCAAGGATTATTATAGATAAGGCAATAGAGTACAATATTCTGTCAATGAAAACTGTTCAGGAAGCTTGTAACTGACATCACAAATTGCCCTCAAATAAACACTTAGATAGCAGAAAATCTGGTATTAGAAGCTAAGCAAAGCATTTAAATAGACTGCTTTGCCTTTGTCTGAAACTCTCGTGAAATCTTCATTTGTCTAACACGTTCACAGCAGTGATTTCTTTTTAAACAAAGAAGCCACTGAAATGGGCAAAAGCTTCTTCAATGCATGGCCAAGAAACTGTCTATCTGTAGAGCATGACAATTGTGTGCGAAGAACGAAGACCAAAACTGCTCCTGAAGCTTATAGCTGTGGTGCAGATAAAGCCCTAGTGAGGAACATATCAACAGAGACACAATAAAGGGAGAACTGCATTTTATCCATATTGTGCTACCTGGAAATGGACCGATTAATGATGGGACTTTTCTTGTATGTTTATAATCTATTAGGGTGTTAATTTTGTTTTACAATATAGATTCGTAGTCCAGTGCCATAGTATATGACAATTATTTTCACAGTGTTTTTTAAATATTCCTGTAATACAATGTTTTTATCCTGTTTTTATTGTATAAAATATATATTGTATTTATATCACCAAAATGAATGAATGTCACAAGATGTTGGAGAAGAGTTTTTATTTTTGGTCAGCTGGGTACATGAGGAAACTCATCACCTTGCTTAAGAGTATCCAAAATAGGCTGAGAATTCTACATATCTATGCCACCTACACAGGGAAATGTCCCTGTGTCTGGAATGAAATGTACACTCTCTTCCCAGGGAGACACACGCTGCTTACCTTGTGGGTGAAGAATGAGGAGAGCATTAAGAGCAGGTTGGTAAGAGCCCAGAGAGGACATTTGGGTATTGCTGGAGTTTAACCAGCTAAAACCGCATAGCTTGCCATTGAGAGCACTGTTCTGGCAAGCTTCCCATTGCTTGTCCACCCAGCAACACCCTACCTGTTAAGAGCTTTGCAGGAGCTGAGTGGAAAGTGACTGGTCTGCACTTCCAAGATCTGCTGATGAACCAGGCAAGTTGGTCTACCATATGCAGTGCCCTGGAGTACTGGGAACCCACCTGGCTCAGGAACTGGACTACCAAGACCACAACAGAGGATTGACTCGAATTTGACATTCCATTGGCAAGCATATCACTTGGAGGATGGCACATGAGATACAATTTACTTTAATTGCACCTTTCATATTGGGAGAATGTCTCAAAGAGCTAAAATGCAACATCACATGATAATAATAAATGTGTTACATAAGTGGGGAATAGTGGAATAGTTCTTTTACTTCCAATCTTGGGAAAGACAGCTTAGAAAGAAGGTAAAATGGGTTAAAACATAGTAAAAAAAAAGAACACGGAAACAGAAAGTAGAATGCAAAGCAATAACAGGGAAATATTGCTCAAGGTTTTTAAATATTTTACTTTTTCTCTTCCTACTTTAGTGTGTTAGGGTTAATTAGGTTGTTCTGATATTTGAAAATCTTTACTCATTAAAAAAAATCAGCGTAACAGAAACAGAATCTAACTTTGTTACAACCAGAATCTAAACCATATTGAATCTGATTTGTTGGGAAGCTCACTCTAGAGCTATTACACCATTATTATGTATACATAGGTAGACAGGAAGTCTCAGTTTTCTACAAGGGGTCATTTAAAAAGGCAGCAGCCAACATGCTCATTTGTTTGATTTTGTACCAATTCACGGCCCAATATTGCCAAACACACTGCAGTTATTGTCCAGACTCCCTTGGCAAGCAAGTCCTTGATCACTACTGATAAATGTTACAAATATTAATTAACAGCAGAAGATGTCCTTAAATTGTGCTCTGAGATCAGAGGACTTTACGATACTGGCTGGACTTGCCAAGGAAATGGAAAATCCTTCACTGGATAAATAATAGCATGTAGGAGTCCTGCGTTAAGTAATGCACATTGATGTTGCTGGGAGAGTTGCAATTTCACTTAAGCATTTTTGTGTCAAAGGCAATTGAAAGAGAGCTTCCTCCTGTCCTCAGTATGGTCGTGGTTAATGACATGCTGCAGATTTTAATATTTGTGCCCGCTATTTATTTTCTTGCATGTCTGATAGATGAAAGCACTTTGAGAAAGAATGACAGCAGCATGGCATAGTCATATCAGTCACATACATCATATCATTTGGGACCATACATTTAATATGACTTCTGCTAAGGTTTGCCCACAAATATACAGTCAATTCACTTTACAGTGTGTTCTGTGAAGCGCTTGGACATCTCCGACGTGAAGCCTATATAATGCAGCTATATATGTGTCAAATGCAAGCATCATCATTATATGATGCAAGTATCTGGACTTCCAAAAGGACTACAAAGCATAAATTATGTCAAACTTGCAATAGAATGTAAAACTCTCGAACAGGGATTTGGGGAGAGGTACGATTTCGGCGACAATATGATTTAGACGGATCCGACTTATGCGAGTTTTACTGCCATAGAATAAATGCATCAGCCACTGGCTTTACCTCTGTAGAAATCGCTGTGTGTGTGTTTGTGTGTGTGAGAGAGAGAGAGAGAGAGAGAGAATTGAATGGATGCTCAATGAAACATCTCCTACCTTGAGATAGGGCTGCCCGTTTGCAACTCCTCCTATCACAATATCTGACCAAGCCATGGATCCCGATGGCGAAAGCCCAAATCCCACATAGCCCCTGGTTTCAACTTCCAGCTCGAAGGTGACACTCTGGTTGTCATGTTTCCATCGGAGGTGGTATTTTCCTTTTGCATCCAACACTGCACAGTGACTGAACCCTTCCCTCCTCCACCCCCAGCCAGTGGCTGAAGCCTGGGCTGTCAGCAGCAGCAGCAGCAGCAGCGCTGTGCTGCCTAAAACCAGGGGGAGAAAGCAATGCAACAACATGCTTTTAATTGCGGGCTCTGTGTGTGTGTGTGTGTGTGTGTGTGTGGAGGAGGGAAGGAGGGGGGTGGAGGGGGGGAGGTCAGGGATGGGAAGGAAGAAGGTGATTAAGTAAGAGAGAATAAAACGTTCTTGCAAAGCTGTGAGAGACAAAATGCTGCAACTCTGTGAGCTTCCCCCCTGTCACCCCGCACAGGCGATCATCATCTTCCAGCTGCAGAGTCCCAACTCAAACGTCTCCAGACTTCCAGCTGCAACTGCACCGATTTGTTTCTGCCCACGATCGCGAGGTCCAGTTATACGGATCTTATTTTTTTTTTGCAACAACAAAAAAAAATTTCCCCCCTTTCCCCCACTCCCCACTCCCCTTTCCCAGGGAGATCTGAGCACTTTTGAGGGAAGTGCTGAGAGGAGCCCCCAGAGTGAGTGATCCAGTCCTGCGTGGATGGAATGAGAAAGCGCATCTTTGTTCCCCATCAGGGAGGGGGGAGGCCAGTGTCAGCCAAAGCAACTTTCTCTGCCTATCACTTGTCGGGAGCTCAAAACCGCCAGGCAAAGCTGGACATGTCCCCCCCCCCCACCCCCCACCACCACCCCCAGTGTGTTTGCATTCAAGGCTGTCAAATCCCATCACTGTGAAATTTCCTGCCTGGGCACTGTATTCACAGAGATCTGACAAGCCTCTGGTGAACACAAAGTCAGACATAAGAGCACTCAGTGCAAAGTTACACTTTTTTCTTGGAAATCTAAAACTGCTGCATTCACAACATGCTCCACCATCCTCCCCTTATTACTGTAATACTCTTAGTTTTTCCACAATCCCCCAAATTGTTATAATGCAACATGACGTTTCGCCCAGAAAATGCACGGTATATTCGCTTTTGCAGTATATCCTGTGGAGCGCTTTGAGACGCCACAACGATGTGATAGCTCACTATGTCAAATGCAAGGTTTATCGTTGTAACAACAACAACAACAGCAACTTGCATTTATATAGGGCGCTCTACGAGAGGTAGGGTCCCGGAGCGCTAGACAGTGGAGGAGTCTGACACCGAGCAAGGGGGAGAGGGAGGTGACCAGAAGCACGATTAAAAAGGAAGGCCTTTAGGCGGAATTTGAAACTGGGGAAGAAAGGGTCAAGGCAGAGGGATTGAAGGAGAGAGTTCCAGAGTTCCAACCTATTATAATAATAATGATTATTATAATAAATTGAATTAGACTTGCATATAGGGTCACTGACTACATAAGATGCAGCTGTAGGCAATGGGCTTAATTTTCACAAATATGCATTACAACAAGATTGCCTATTAGAAACAAAGACTAGTTTAAGCTGTAATTTTGAAAAATTTTGCAGTAATAATAATGTAGAAAATTAAATCTCTTTATCACTTAGTCTTAAATAATAAAGAATAATTAGATGAATTCCGAGGGATTCAAATCATGTCATGGTGACCAGGCATAGAGCCACATATGTTACATTAATGATGACTAAAAAAAGGTGATTCCTTTCCTGATACTGTACCATTCTTCATTCCTGGAGACTTGGGCTTCCCTCCCAGAGGTCACTCAGGTCATTGCCTCTCATCCTAGGCTATTTCTACAGGCAATTTGAAAAATAAAGACAGTTCTCTTCATTGCCAAGCATGTCAACTTGGAGCCAGTTCAGCTGCAAGGAGACCCTCCTTATCACTCCACCCCCCCCCCCCCCATCCTAGGAGGATAGTCACTAGTTGTTCCAAAAATGTGAATTTGAGCCCTCACTAAGTGGATAGCAGGCACAAGGAACTCACTGTGAATTTCCAGATGAAATGCATGAGAGTATTGCTACTACCTTCCTGCCCACAGTTCAGACACACATCCCTTCCCATTGAGATATCGTTCCACCAGTAGTAGGTGTGGAGCTTGAGCAACAGCTGCTTACCTCTTTGCAAACCAATCAAGATGGATTCCAAGTGCAGGATGTATGAACAATTACAACAACAGGATGTCCCAAGGTGCTGGAGAATGAGGCATTTGCATCTGAGCTGTGGGTTGAGATCAGAGAGAGATGGAGGGCAACACTTGTTCACGAACTCCAGGTGGCACCTTCCAGCAGTTCTTGTCTCAAGTCTCAGAGTTTCCTCATCAGCTATCTGATGCCTTCAGTGTGGGAGAACAGTTTACAGTAGTTTGTGACGTGACAGTTACCTTGATGTTCTCAAAATCCACATCCAATTCTGCATACTAGGCTTACTCAACAACAGCTGCTTAATCCAGGTCCTTAAGTGAGGATGGGTTTCTTGACAATGTAAAGAGGAGTTTCAAAGAATGGCGGTAGAATGGCTGAATGCTTATCCACCGATGGTGGGGCTGATATGATGGGGGACATGTAGCAGGCTAGTTTTACTGGGGAAGGGAATGGCCATGTCCATAGGGATGCAGGAGGTTACAGAGATATGATGGGTTGAGGATATGGAAGGCCTTGAAAATGAGGTTGTGAGAGAGGACAAGAACTGCAGAGTTCTGGAATTAGGAACTAGGAAGTCCAGTGAGCAGGACATTGGAACTGTCAAGTCTGGGCATGATAAAAGCAAGGCTTAAAACAGTTACAAACATATATTGTGATAAACAGCAATATAATACACATTTATGCTATGAGTCTGTCCGTAAGTTGCCAACAAAATGGCAGAAATTTGCCACCAAAAGCATAGCTTAACTACCCCATTGGTTTGAAGATGGCCTCATTGCGCTCTGTACTTCAGCTTGTGTCTGTGACTCTCCAATGCACCTTAATCGAATAGCCGAAAGGTCATCGACCTGAAACGTTAACCCACTTTCCTCTCTCCATAGATACTGCTTGACCTGCTGAGTGTTCCCAGATTTTATTTCAGATTTCCAGCATCTGCAGTATTTTGCCTTTTGCACTGTTAGTCATTTGTGTTTGGTAGTGTTAACATAATAATAATAATCCTTGATTTGAATAGCGCCTTATCACGCCTTCTAGACATCTCAAAGCGCTTCACAGAATATACTGTAAAGTAAATGACTGTATATTTTGTGGGCGAAACGTGGCAACCAATTGCACACAGCAGTGTCCTACAAACAATCATGGATTGAGCGACAAAATGGCTAATATTTGTTTTCAAGGGATTATTATCCCCAGAAAAGCGATCCACTAATCGACTAACAACTGGGTTCCTACTTACTGCTAGGTAAACAGAAACGTGTGGATTAAGGAAACTTGTCCAAACTTTCTCCCTGCCTCAGAATCAAACCCAGGCCTTCTCGCTTGTGAGGCGAATGCTCTAACCATTAAGCTACAGGACTTGCCAGTGTTTAGTGAAATACTGGTGATTCACTAAACAGTGGAGGTGCAGGTGACTGTGATGGTGTTTGCGGTATTACTGGAAGTTATGTGAGTGACTTGGGTTGCTGTTTATATTGCAATAGTTCTTCTAGATGGATGATCCACATTCTTTTGTACAAAGAGCAATGGGTAGATATAATTAGAAGACCACAGAACCCAAGGGCATCACAGTTTCTCTGGGCTCAAGTGCACTTTGAAGTCCTATGGGCTTCTACTGATGGGATTCATGGACTAATGGTTAAAAGACAAGCTTTCTATAACAATTAACTCAGTGAAATATTCTGTTTTGCCTGTCAAATCCTTCCATTGCTGGAGGTGGCAATCAAAGAGGTTGTTACCTCTCAGGCTTCCTTGTTAATGTGTGAATGGGGGAGGGAAGAAAGTAGCCATGCTGAAGATCTCCTCCACTTGGCTAATATCTATTGGACGATAAAAGACAATATCAATGTCCATAAAACACATCTTTCTTACCCCTTGAGTTTTGTGAACATCTGAATTACCAGATAAACTGTACATTAATGTGGTCCAAAGTCTCATTTCCTGCATGTTGAGATGCTAAACTGTGATTATGGCAGTTCATCTCTAACTGGGTGGCTTGACTATCTGTCAGGCAGGTATAAAACTGTTCCTGGCCAGAAAATGCTGCTTTTTTACATATTCCGAAATGATGTGGCTTGCAAGGAATTAACTGCTTTGAGTACTATATAATAAAATAATATAATAATCCTTGCATTTGATATAGCGCTTTTCACGTCTTCTCAAAGCGTTTCACAGAATAGACTGTAAAATGAATTGACTGTATATTTGTGGGAGAAATGTGGCAGCCAATTGCGCACAACAGCATCCCACAAACAATCGTGGATTGAAATTACCAATTTATTATTGTCTTTTTTTTGAGAGATTATTATCAGATGTGTGGAGTAAGGAAATTTGCCCAAGGTTTCACCCTGCCAGGAATCAAACCCAGGTCTATTGCTTGCACTGAGCTACAGGACTTCAGAACAAATGGCACTAGAAACTCACCTCAAACAGTTTACACAATGATCAAAAATACATTGATATTGTGAAGATATTCCTAAAAATTAAGCAATAATGAGCACAAGTTTTTAATAACCATTTTAGAACTTTCTCACTGGTTTATAGCTTTTGATCCAGTCATTAATCATTGCCATTAAGGGCAGAACATGTGGTTACACATCTGGGACAGAAAGGCAAAGCATTTCACCACTTTATTGGAAAGACATCAGTACAACAACAACTTGGACTTATGCAATACCATTCATGTGGAAGAACATTTTTAAACACTTTACACAAACAGTGTAGAATACTAAGCAATATGGGAAGGACGGAGCAAGGGAAAGTACTGAAAGCATGGTCAAAGAGGTAAATATTTAGAAGTGGTTTGATGACAGTGACAAAATTACAATGACATATTAACCATAATAAGCAGTTCAGTTCAATACCATCTGCATCAACTCAAAAGATGCCCCGAAATGTTCTATGACGTTAAGAAAACCAGCACACAACCTGCCTTCAAGCATCAGGCAATGAGTACAACCTGAATTACCACAGGAATGTAAAATGCTAATGAACTCAGAGAAAGGTGTGGTGCGATGCTTTGGCTAAAAGTGCCTATAAGCAGATAGTTTCAAAACATGCTGTTACATATAATTGCGTGCCTTTTTCTAATCATTTTTCTGGGACACTGATCGTGTCACAGAAAAGAGAAATTTATTGAAACATAATACTTTGTTTTACAGAAAGTATAACTTTTTTGTAAAAGATAGTTTAGTGGCATATTGCAGAACTGAGATGTTTTGACTGACAATGTAAATTGGTATTGTGAAACTTGAGCAATTTATTTGTTGATATGAACTTCTCAATTGCAGCTTTGAAATAAACCAGTTCAGACCAACTCCTTGTTGTTCACTTCCTGACATACGCAGTGCTCAAAATGTCGTTTTGTCTTAGGCTGTAAGAGCTCTGTCTTTTCATTTAAGATCACTCAAATTGTGGTTAATTCTTAAATTTAGACTAAATTTGATTGACAGATTTTTTGCGGTTCTTAAAAAGAATGGTCTTCCAATTAAAACTGAATTTTAATTTTAATATTCCACAACTACAGCTAATATTTAATGTTAAAACAAAATGGTCTTATAGACCTCAATATCTATAAAGCCATTTTGTTGTAACATTAATACAATACATGTTTACGTTTATATACTGTAGTGCCTTTCATGTCAGGAGGATGTCCCAAGACACTGGATATATTAAGGCTTGCTAGGAGTGGGAGCCTATGGAGGTGAAGGGCAGGAGAAAGATGCCCGAAAGTGCAGTCAAAGAGGAAGATCTTGAAGCGGTCTTTGAAGAAGGTGAGGGAAAGGGGCAAGTCGAAGGGACTCGTCAATGAAGATCCTCCACCTTGCCCCTTCCTTTCCCATCTTCAGATTGTGCCTGAAGAAGACATTCCTATTTGAGTGTGCGTATGGTCACCTAACCCCCTCCCACCGGCTCGGCATTGTGCTCCCCCACTGTCAAGCGTTCTGGGACACTACCCTGCAAGAGGGGCGCTATATAAATTCAAGTTGTTGTTATTAATACTGTTCTTGTTTACTTTCTTAATTATGTTCTTTCGGTATTCCCCGAAATGCGTTCTTCAATGCATAGCAGACCGAATATTTTGTTACATTTAGGTGTTTAAGTGAGTGAAGGTTCACCACATAAAACATTGAAATTTAAGGAATTAAAAAGCACAATCTCTGTGCCCTTCTCTCCCCTCATTCAGAATCAGAAACAATTCAAATAGCGTGACTGTCAATGGCTGGGATTGTTCGGATCTGTTTTTCCTGCTCCAAGTCCTAACAAGTGGAAATCTGTAAGCAGCCTACAATTTTTGACAGTTGCTATGAAGTCATAGCTGTCTAATCTTCTAATATAACATGTGGTGTTTGCAAACAATAAATAAATCACTGTTGTGTCAAACTTAGGTATCATGTATCAAAGTTACAGGTGAAAAGCATTCCAAAATGCTTACAAACAAAGATCTAATCTGGATATATATTTTACAAAATTGCTTCTTTCAATATAATTCATGTCAAGACTGCACCCTTAAGTCACGTGTATTTATAGTTAACAGTAGTTCTTCACTAATGTTAAAAAAAATCAACTTGGTCATATAAAGTCGCCGGTTTCAAAGGGTATTACAGTACTTAAAATTTGACCTTGTGGGCAAAGACACCATCTGGTGCAGCTTTAAGACATACAGTACAGACCTTGCTGGTTCAAACTCTCAGTTTATTCTGAGGCAGCAGTCAGGTCCGTGCCTTCAGCTCCTCTCTCGACTCTCTATCCTCTTCTCGCTCCCTCCCTTCCCTCCCCTCACCCTGACCATTTCCCCCCAATGCTCGGGTCCTGACCCAACTGTACAGCGCCTTGGGACGTCCTCCCGACGTGAAAGGCGCTCTATAAATGGAATCTTGCTGTTGTTGTTGTTGTCGTTCTACAATTTTGTGCTCCTGGGTTTGAGAGAAAAAGTTAATCAGGATTGTCACGGCTCTTTAGTATCCAGTCAGCCCTGCTGAAAAATGTATGTGTTTGAAGACCGTAGCCTCAGCTGTGATGCTTCCACAGCGAAATAGACTCCAACACTCTCAGCCTACATTCATGAGATCACATAAGATCACAAGAGTGGGTTAGATGTAGAAGGTGCTTTGGCCCATTTGAACTCTTAATAATAATAATCCTTGCATTTGCTATAGCGCTTTTCACATCGGGAGGACGTCCCAAAGCGCTTCACAGAACACACTGTAAAGTGAATTGACTGTATATTTGTGGGCGAACGCGGCAGCCAATTGCACACAGCAATGTCCCACAAACAGTCGTGGATTGAAAATGACCAATTTATTATTGTTTTTGGTTTTGGTCGATAAGTCCAAAATGAAGGAGCATCAATATAAGTTAGTCAGTCACAGATCCAAGAGAGTTTAAGAGCTGGTGAAAATGTGGACTGTACTGCCAGGAGCTGTGGTTGAAGCAAAAAATGTTAATTTATTTAAGAGGAAACATTGAATATACAAAGAAAGAGGGAAGAGAGAGGATTAGATGGGGTTGGGGGTTTGTGTGGTGTTAACCCACTATTGGGCTGTTTGTCCTGTTTACATGCCTTATCGCTTTATGTACAGTAATGTAATCTATCCTTACAGAATACCCATCCTACATTCTCCCCTCACAGCTTCAAGATATATTGTAAGAGCATCATGTATTCTTCCTCTGACAGCCTGTTCTGGTCATTAATTACCCTATTAAAGAAATGCTTCTTAGTGTCTGTTCTTTTCCTACCCCACATCCGGTCCCTGATCAGGACTGTTTCCTCCATCTCTGTCTCATCACCAGTCTTTGCCCTTATATTATTGCCTGATAGTAATTCCTCAAGAAAAAAAACAATAATACATTGGTCACTTCAATCCACGGCTGTTTGTGGGACACTGCTGTGTGCAATTGGCTGCCGCGTTTCGTCCACAAATATAGTCAATTCACTTTACAGTATATTCTGTGAAGCACTTTGAGATGTCTAGAAAACGTGAAAACTGCTATATCAAATGTAAGGATTATTATTATATTATTATCTTACTCCAAATGCCACTGAAGCTCACATTGATGCTTTCATTCCACGACAAATGATACAAAACTCTGCCTGTGCCATCACCTGTACCAGGCTTTGCATTCCCAGCACCCCTGTTCCAGCCAGGCTTCTGATCAGATTCCACTGGCTCCTTGTTGCAGAAGGGATCGATTTGAAGATCCTCCCTCTCACTTTTAAATCTCTTCATACCCTAGCACCTCCCTATCTCTCTGATCTGCTCACACCCCACTCCATTGCTACTGCCTTCACTCAGCTGCCTCAGGTCTTTTGCATGTCCCTCGTACCCTCTGTTCCACCATTTGCGGTTGTACTTTCAGTCACTATACCCTGAATTTCTGGAACTCCTTGCTGCAAACTCTCCATCTTGCCACTCTTTTCCCATCCTACAAATCACACCCAAAGACTTTCTTCTTAAATGCCTTCGGTCATCTGCCTTCTCTTTCCAGCTTGGCATCAAACCACACCCTGTTAAGCACTCCGAGATGCCACCCGTCTGATGGGCAATATAAGTTGTTGTTGAACTTTGCCTTTGCAACCCTAAATTTACATTTTCTTATTCTACTGTCTAATGCATTCAAATATATTGTTCTGACTTTACTTTCTCAATCCTATTTAACATCTTGCACTCCTGTAAAACAACCCCTCTGAGATAAGAATGATAATAATAATCCTTGCATGTCACTAGAAATCATCATTGCTCTATGCTGCACTGCCTCTAGCTAGGCCCTGGGTAGCCCCCTCATGTTGTACCAACTGGAACAATATGCATTAATAATAATAATAATCATTTGATATTGTGTCTTATCATATGATGAAACATTTCAAAGCACTTCAGAGGATTTTCGGTAAAGTATAGCTATTGTGTGTTTATAGGTGAATGTGGCAGCAAACTTGTACACAGCAATATCCTATTTGCAACCATGAAGTGAATGACTAATTTTATCTAGTACTCATCATTGCTGATACAGCTTGAATCTGGCTTATTTGGCAATATACCCTGGCAACCTGCTTGACATTTTTATTGTTACTCACAATATTTTGAGATAATGAGTGATGAGTCAAGTAACATCCCTGGATCTCTTTCAGAAATCCCCTTTTGAAATTTCCAACCCATTCATTGAGTACAGGCACCTCCTATTTTTAATTACTACATGCACTGACTTGCATTTATCTGCTTTTAATTTAATATGCTAGTCACCTTCTGCATACCCCATCAAGTTTGCTTAAGCTCTGTAGTTCGCACACTTCAAGTGACCACTTCAACGAGGCATATGCCTGTGGATCCACACCAAAGCAAGAGTCAGCACTTTCAGGAGAGGGGGGAAGAAAGTTGGCCAAACATTTAAAATCAGGAGAGTCCCACTGTCCCCAGTGGCTTCTCTACATTGAGAACATTGCTTTCTCTTCTCTCCTTTCCTTCACAAGCACATAAGGCAAAAAACTAACTATAAAACATGGGCAAGTTTGGGCATGGGCAAACCGAATCTGAGGAGGAAAAAAGTTTAACAAACCTTATTACTGTAACTGGATCAGACAACTACAACTTACCATAGGGTCCACAGCAAAACATGGAGTGCAACAAGATAATGAGAATTAAGTAACTTCTCCCCCTCCCCCCCAACCACAAACATGTGCATGCAATTGAAAGAAAAACACAAAGAAACAACAAAATAATTCTAAAGTCATACAGAAAGGAACAAAAGCTCCAAAAATAATGAGACTTAATGCTGTACTTTCAGAACTTCTCATTTCAAACAATGTCACATGATCTTTTAGTAGCCACACAAGTATACTAAATATAGGTTAAGATAACCATAAACCTTGCATTTAATATTGTACCTATGTTGCACTATTGTTTGTCAAGCACTTTACAGATAATCACCAATAATCTCTGTCAAGTGTACTGACTGTGTATTTGTTCGCAGACAAAGGTTATCCCCCAAAACACCATGAAGTGAATGATTGTTAGCCAGAAAAACAGGAGAAACTCCCTTCTTTTCTCTATTGCATCACGGGATCTTTAATGACCAGGCAAAACCTTGCAACTCTCTCCCTTCATCTCTCTGCTTTGCCTTCTCCTTTCCCTTTTTCAGATCAGACCTGAAAGCCTTCCTCTTCGACCGTGCTTATGGTCATCTCCTCCCTCCCCCCAGCTCAGCGTCAAACTCCGCCTCTATTAAGGTTAAGCTGACTTCGTGAAAATAGAGTCTGAAAGGTCATCTGACAACTGTATAAAAGAACGGTAGCTTTAGCAAGAAAGTGGAAGAGAGAGACTAGCTACCCGTAACACCTGCAACCAATATCTTAGAGAAAGAAAACAAAGATCGAGATAACTGTCAATATTGATCGAGGCTCACAAAGCAACAATCCTGGTACCAGTCGGTCAGTTGGTTCTTCCTCCACAACATTGGTGCGGCCAACTTTATTTGTTGTGAACTGTACTAAATATGCGTAAGCATTACTGTTGATTGATTAACTGATCGTAACTTGCATAACCTTGTTAATTTGTATTAATAAATATCAATTGATCGAAAGAATTTGTGTCGGTCCTTATTTCATCGCAGGCTCAGATATTTGAAAATCTTTACACCCCGTTATTAAGAGTCTCACTAATGTATACATTCCTTTTTAACAGGAAAAAAAAGAGTGGCCACTGGTTGCGTTAGGCAGGTGGTTGCTGAATAGAGGTGATTGCTTTAATAGATTTGACTGTATAAAATATATTTTATTAATGTACGAGTGAGGAAGTGTTTCGGAATATGAGCTCAGAAAATTCATATGCATATTCATGAAAGTGAACAGATTCTTGAAAAGAATGCAAATTGCAAAGCAACTAAAAATAATTTCAAAATAATTTTTCAATAGAAGGGCAAACAAAAAAGAAGCTTCCAAAGATACACTATTAGCTTGATCTGCCAATATATCTGTTCCTGCTGTAACTAGCCTGAGCTGAGACTTAGTGTTGTCTCCACAGGTTCTCTAGTTTACACACTTCTCTGGTTGACTTTGCTTCCTGAAGGCTTCCACTCAGTTTCTGCAAGATTATATCTCCCGCTCTCCAAACCGTCATCCCTCCGGCTCCCCGGATGTCGTTCCTTCTGCTTCCCATATAATAAGTGATTTATCATCACACCAGCTTCTGATTAGTGGTGGTGGTAATAGGGGGGGACAAGGGGGCTGGGGAGACGATAGCCCAGAGATTTCAGCACCCCTATAAAACTTGTTCCATCACTACTGCATTGTCCCAACACGAAAGGAGCTACATAAATACAATCTGTTTTTGTTGTTCTAGTTGCTGGGTGGTTTATTGCCTAAAAAGTCTATTTTTGCTGTAAAACATTCTGCTCACTTCTCTCATGCATCTGTGTTTTTTTTAACTGTTATTATTGCTTAGCACAAAAATAATCATAATTAAAGAATTAAGAAAAGAATACTAAACTTAAGGAGGAGAATATTAATTAGGAAAAACTTAACATGCTTAATATTTTTAGCTCTTCAAAGCTTCTGTACGCACTGCTCCATGCCCAACCTGGCCTGCCCCAGCATCGGTGGTCGGGCCTTCAGCCTCTTTGCCCCCACCCTTTGGAACTCCATCCCACAGTTCTTTCACCTTTCTTGCTTCCTTCAAGGCCCATATCAAGACCTTTCAGTTAGACTGCGCCTTCGGTCAGTCTCCTTCTCCTATCCTCCTTGCCCTCCAACCCTCCTGATCCCAACCCCCAGCTCAGGTCCAAATCTATGACTGTCCAGCGCCTTCGGATGTCCTCCAAACGTGAAAGGCGCTATGCAAATGCAATTTGTTGTTGTTGTACGTCTTTTTGCAGTGTACTCTGGGGCCACACTAGACTTTCATATCTGGGGTACCCCTAATCTATATATTCCTTCAATTTTCAGGCCATCCCAAAATTTTTCAAAGAATTCCTCACAAAGAATGCAATATGAAACATTGGGCATTTGACTTCACAATTAAATTTGACTTCCCGAATGCTGGTTCCTGACACTGCAAACCGGAAAAGGCAAAATCTGTATTCAACTGTTTGGGTGTCACACATACTAGATTCACATTAATAAATTGGTTTCAAAGTGTGTTAAGCTTTCCAGATTTTTCTTTGGTCAGCCAAGTGTCTGACACATGCCAAAATCCATCACCACGCAGTTAGGAGAATCCAAACCAAACTTCTGAGAAGTTCACATATGCACAGAATTCAGATCAGTAAAATTACTGTTGTTACATTGTAATTCCTTAGTGCCATATATTGCATCAATGTATAATCAACCACATTTGTACTTATGAATTCTTTCTTTTTGAGGGCATGTAAAGCTGATTGGCTATGAAACCAAACAGAAAAACCACTAAACAAGTCATATGAACAAATCCCCCAGAGGAAGCTAATACATTACACAAGCTGCTATATTTGCATATGGTACTGACTAGCTTCTTGTATCTGAATTTGACGGCCTAATTTAATAAGTAAACATGTGCGCCAATTTATTTTTGCCAAGAGCAATAAATGTCTTGCAAAAAAAATCTTAAAATATCTTTCAAAACAAACCAAACAACTCTGTGAAAAAGATTCACAAAGTCTGCTTTATTCAAGGTCTGTCTGTTTTATTCAAGGAGCAAGCAACATGCAAATACACTTTCAAGCCTGATAGTGCAATGTGTCATTTTCTGTTAATATCAGCGCAAGGTCAACATGCAACCTCCAACATGACAGGCATGCAGTCTGTATTCGTTGGACGTTTCTTTCTGTAAGTGAATGTGGACAGATGATCACTTGGACTCCTGCTAGTATTGTTTATTATTCTGTTGTAATTAATGAATTAGTGTCAAAGAGAGTTTAAATAAAAATGAATTATTATTGTCAATTTAAAGTTGTTTTTTTAAAATCTTATCAGTAGCTATTTTATTTTGAATCATAACAATTCTAAACAATTCTACTTACCATAAATGGCCTAATTTTCCTTTCTAAGGACACTTCTCATTCTCATTATTAATATTTTGGGGGTCAGCCTGGTGTCTGACACATGCGGCAACCCATCACCGTGCTTAAGGGAAACCAAACTGAGAATTTCTTGTATAATAATAATAATCCTTGCATTTGATATAATGCCTTATCACATCTTTGAGACGTCTCAAAGCGCTTCATAGAATATGTCATAAAGTGAATTGACTGTATATTTTGTGGGCAAATGCAGCAGTCAATTACTCAGAAGCAGTGTCTCACAAACAGTCGTGGATTGAGTGACCAAATTTTATTACCCCTGGAAAAGCGATCCGCCAATTGACTAACAACCGGGTTCCTACTCACTGCTAGGTAAACAGAAGGTGTGGAGTGAGGAAACTTGCCTAATGTTTCGCC